CACTTCTACTGTGTAACACACTGTACAGTCTGTAGCTCTCCCATGAAGAGTGTTTCAATTATGATCCTGACACTGTTCATTTATTTAAAATATTGTCGAGTTATCCTTGTTCAAGTGAGCTGAACAAGATTCTCTCCTGTTGTTCTGTTTCCCATCACCTCCATCTAGGATCTGACAACTAGAAGTTACTGCATGTCTAAGATAGTTGATGGATGAATCACAGTATGTAACATAATGAAACAGCCAAGCCTGTTAATGCACATATTAGCAGGACTTGTTTTTTTTTGCACACACCATCCAGAACTGTCAGTGAAGAAATACCACAAGCGTTAAGTGCAGCTATCAGCACACAGACTGTGGGAATAAGATCTGCCTCTACCAGGAATTAACTGTTTGAGTTCTGAATTCTCTTTCGTATCCAGCTTTATAATGCACAGCTGTTCGCAATAATAATAATAATAATCTTTGAGTTTGATATAGAGCCTCATTGCATCAGTGAGACATCTCTCTCTCTCTCTCCTCATATACATCTCCATACATCCATTGGCTTCCAGTAGCACTGCTCCTTTACACAAAAGGCACTGTATAAATTGCTATTATACTTTGAAGATGGCCAGGGAGATTTAGGTTGCAGTGGATTCAACACTCGGTTGATTGAATCTGGTGTTGTAATCAGAGCTAAGTGAGGAGTACTTTCACACTGGGGGAATCCCTGCTTTCGCTAACTCCTACTCTGTCCTTGTGTTAAATGCCACCTACAGTCTGGCTGTATTGTCAGCAGTCATTGTATGGCTCAAACCTGAGAGACTCAACTCCTAAACATATCTCCTCAACACCATAGGATGAAGATTACTTTGAACTGGCCATTGAAGCTTTCTAAAGGGACATCACTCCTTTAAGATACTCTTGTGACATGGCCCTTGTGGTGCGTGTATATGTAAGGTGAAGCCTACCTGCACTCCCTGGCTGATCAGATTTTCAGAGAGCCATCACTGGCATGATGGGTCGAATGGCCTCCATCTGTCCTGGAAATGTTGATGGTTCAAGGAGCGCAGTTTAATAAGTTAATTACCTCGTTTGAGAAGCCAACAAGCAAATGTGCCGTGGAGCCATACCCAATGTGGCCTCTAGAGGGAGACTATAGCTCAAGAGGACATTCTTTCTCACTCTCCGGCTCCAGTAAAAATAATAATAACATTAATAATAATAATCCTTTGCATCCGAGTTGCAGGTAAACTGTACAAGTCATATTAAATGTTGTGGCCCTGATTGATTTGACTTATGAGAGTTTTACTGTATAAGGGCAACCCTAGACTTTTGATTTAACAGCCCTTTGTGGGACTGACAATTGACGAGTAGCCTCTGATCTCCAATCCCACCAGTTACCCAGGTTGGTTGAGCTTGGAGAGGGGCAACTTGACTTATTTTGCATCCGACTTGGAGAACATCATACCCATGGCTTAGGATTTAAAAACAGACAGCAGGGGCTGTGACCTATTGCTCATACAAAATATCTTTCAGTGTTCATCAAGTCATCCCAACTCATCTGTCACTGAGTTTGACAGCAGAGAAAGACAGCGTACTATACCAGCTCAAAGAACGTACAGCACCGAAACAGGCCTCTTGGCCCAATCAGTTGGTGCGGGTGTTTATACTGAACTCAACATGAATCCTTACCCATTCTTTAGTATCTCCCACACCCTTCTATTCCCCTCTCCCTCATGTGAAAGTGTAGCTTCCTCTTGAATACATCTACACTATGATTCAGCCACCACTTCAGGCAGCGAGTTTCATCCACTGCGTGAAGTAATTCATCCTAAATTCTCTTTTAGATCTTCTAGTTGCTATCTTCTATCTGTGTCCCCTGGTTACGGTCTCCCCAAACAGTTGAACTCTTTTATAATTTTACACATTTCTATTATGTCTCCTCTTAACAACCGGCCCGTGGGCCATGGGTCGGCCATCACTGCTCTAATAGTTTGTAGTACCAAAGAATTTTGGAGGCTTCTGCTTAATTCACGACCAATTAGAGATGTTATGGGGTATGGCAAAAGGAAGGAGCAATGCGATTAAAAGATCTGTCAAGATAAACTAATACATTGGGGGAACAGGCGCAGTGGTGAACAGGCTCAGTGAGCTCCTGTTTCTGCTTTCTCATGTTCTAAAACCTTTGGAGCCTCAATGTCTTTCCTAAGTCAAAAATGGTTAAAATGGTGAAATAACCTCAAGCGAGTCAGGGAAACTGGGGTAGCAGCAATGGGTGAAAAAGATGCAAAGATCTATATCACCAACCCTGCTTCACACAGGGTCCATTTCAACTAAATATTTGAAAGGGAACTAAATATACACTTGAAGGAAAATAATGCTAAAGAGGGTGGTAAAAGAGCAAAGGAAAAGCATTAGAGGAGACAGCACTAATGCGGGCAGCTAGAGTAGCCTCCTGTGCAATCGGCATTCTGTGATTCTATGAGTTTGCAAAGAGTCACATAGAGTGATAGGGCACAGAAAAAAAAAGGCCATTCAGCCCAAGTGGTCCGTGTTGATGCTTATAGTCCACACAAGCCCCATCTCTTCTATTCCCCTTACCAATACCCATCTATTCCCTTTTCCCTCCTGTATGCATTAGGTTTTCTCTTGAATACATTCACAAGATCACAAGATTAGTTTGAATGAAGAAGGCCCTTCAGGCTCTCTGTTCAGTTCAGGACCCCCACTCTACTATCCTCCCATCACAGCATCAAACTTTTATTAAACGAGTCCAGTGTCCTGGCCTCAATCATCCTTCCTCGCAAACCAGTTCCAGCCATTAATTACCCTCCAATGCATAATTAACAATATTCCTTATACTTTATTGACTAGACAGAAAATTTGATTGAAATATGGTCTTAAAACCTGTTCTTATCAGATTTGGGACTGAACTTCCCTCCTCTCCCCCCCGCCGCCCCAACTACATCTCACATTTCAAACCACCAGCAATTTATTTTACATTTGATGCTGCTTGTTTTAACCACAGCTTCTGCCAAAAATACTCACGTTCTCATCACCCTCTATGGGATGAAGTTCTTCCTCAATTCGCTATTAGATCGCCGACTAGCTATCATATTTAGATATCTAGCTTGATAACTTGTCCCAGAGTCTGTTGTACAGGAAATGTTAACCTGGATAATAATAATACTTGCATTTGATATAGCACCTTATTACGTCTTCCAGGTATCTCGATAATGCTACAAAAAGAGGGTAATCCTTCAGAAGGAAAGTGGATTTACTAACAGTGAAAGACATGGATATTTAACTTTAACTGGGATTGCAACATGCAGAGGAGATGAGCACAAAATGAAGATGCAATGAGAGAGTATAGAAAATACTTTTTAATCCTAGAATAGTAAATACTGTACCTGGGATAGACTCCCAAAAGCTGTCTACACTGTATTGAGTAAAGATCTGGTTAAATATATACATCAGAGTGGAATTAGATGACAAGGACTGGTGCCCTGTGAGATTGGGTTTAATGGGCCTGATCACAGGAAGGTTGCACTGATATCTTGACGGTCAGGACGTGCTCTCACAAGGATTTATCGACTTTGACATTATATAATCCTTGCGTTCTACATGTGTAGGGTTGCCTCCTGCAGGCAACTGAGAGGGTTGGTTTGGCATCTCATCACTCAAATTGCTCTGTCAGATGGTCTTTTCACGGGGCAAATTTCTGATCCTTTGACTTTAGTGTTGTTGCATTGGTGGGATGAAAGGTTAAATGAAGTGACAGCGACATATTGTGATGGTACTGGACTCAGATCTAAACACCGATAATCATTGCAACTGTTTTACTCTTATGATATAACTTAAAATGATCAAAGGCAGCAACTTGACACCGTCTGAAGAGACATTTAACTTTGCAATTGTTCTATAGCACTGTGAGGCCTATCTGTGACCATGTGCTTCCTACTGTAAGCACACGTGAGTTTTGTATTGCCTAATCAATGTGACTTTGTGCTCACTATTGGAGGTGGGAGGGGGGAGAAATGCCGTGAAAGCTTTCCGTTTTTTAACCCATGTAATGCAAGACTGTTGAAAGAGACTGTGTAAATGGGTTCAAAATGCACTGAGATACATCTCTCTCTGAGAAAGGGAATTAAACAAATAGCAAGATGGCACTAGGTGTGCTTAATAATCAAAAAGTGATGGATTTATTGGGGTGAATGGTCGCTCTTGTTTGTAAATATGCTCCAAGTGTGCAGCATTCTCATTAGCCCTGCAGATTCCTTTTAGGTCTTTTTATTGTATACTACACACTTATTGGATTGAGTGTTCTATCCTTTATTCTCATTGACCCATCTCTTATCCCAGCTCATAACATAACATGTAGGAGCAGGAGTAGGTCATTCGGCCCTTCGAGCCTGCCCCGCCGTTCAATCATGTCCCTCATGTCACTCCTAAATTATACAGTCAATTCACTTTACAGTGTATTCTGTGAAGCTCTTTGAGACGTCTCGAAGATATGATAAGGCGCTATATCAAATGCAAGGATTATTATTATTATTGCCCATCCGTTATCCCAGCTCCTGTTGTCCACATCTCGCTCCCATTGCCCATCTAGTATTGCAGATACTGTGTGTCCCACACCTCACTCACATTTGTCTTGTATGTTTAGTGTCCTATGATTGTTCCATTTGTCTTGTTCTAAAATATTTGAGACAAGGCTATGATTCAATTGTACTCGGGAGCATTGAGTGTTTAGCTGTCCTTCCTTGCAAATGAGTTATTTTGCAAGAATGCTCTCTGTCTAACTCTGCTATTTCGTGGGCAATTAGAAATTGTGCTCATCTCTAAGGGAATGAAAGCAACACATCAAATGGATGGACTTCAAAAGAGATTCCAACAAACGTTTTATTTAGGTTTTTTTTCTCTTCTCCTTTCCCTTTGCAGTTTGCAAAGTGGTGTTCGGCAGAGATGCCAGCAGCCACTCACGCATGCATTCTGCACTGAGAGCTCTGCACAGAGGGGAGTGGAGGGGGTTAAGTGAGAGTAAGCATGTGAGAACTATCTAGAGGTGACCTCGCATGCTGGGAGGATGTGAAGTGCTCAGGGGAATAGCTGGTGCTGTTTCTATTGCTGCTGCAGCAGCACCGAGTGAGCGTGTCTCAGGAAGGAAATGGCAGCAGCATCCTCTGCCTGCTCAGCATCGATCTCACCGCAGAGAGAGCTCTTTGAAGGTTAGACAGATGAATCAAACCAGCAAATGGCTAGAGGTTGGCTTCTGTGCAAAGGTAGCCTGCATTGAGGGACTGCGGCCTGGAGCCCCCACACTGTGCTGAATGAGAGAAATGTGAGCTTGCTGCAGTGCTGCAGTGCTGCTGCAGACAACACTGCGATCAGAGGAATGCATTGGTAAACAGAGGGATTGGAGAGACCAACCGACCGAACAATTCACTCCTCTCACTCTCAGCACAAAAGCAAGGTTTGACAGGAGGAGTGTGAGGGAGTGGGAGGTCCGAGCCCGATAAGAAACTAGAACGACCAGCTTGCCTGCTCTTCTGGCAAATACAAGTAACGCGATTTGAAGGAAGTATCACAAGCAAGGAGCTGGCTGCTCACAGGCTGTGAGACCTCCTCAATGAATGAGAGCTTCGCTGTCACTGGTTCTGGGCTGTCATAGAGAGGCAGCTTCTGGAACATGCTGCAGGAGCCCGCCTGTCATCTGGCTTTAGCATCACAGCGTCTCAGTGCTGCCAGTGATTGAGACCCCGGGAAGTGGGATTAAAAGAAGGAGCCCTCTTTGTGGTCTTATCGTGGAGGTCGCACCGAGGTGCACCTGCTCGACAGATATCGCAGCATTTTCTTCTCGTCCGGTGGAGCCTGTCTGTGTTGGAGGAGACTGCAGCATGTTTCCTGCCAATTGTTGTGCAGCCTGAAGGTGCTGTATGGATCGTGCGAGCTCCTGGTACCTGGACAGATGTCTGCAGGCTGCAGAGATGGACAGACTATGCGGTGAGTGCATTCCCTACCTGTGATCAGGCCTGCCCTGTGTGGGCCAGGAGCCCATGGCGTGTCTCAAACAGCAGCAGGCTGCCATCAAAATGGAAGCCGTGAAGATCATGCCCTCGGAGAAGTTCGCCGAGCGCCACGGGCCGCAGCCCCGCTACGGGCCGCCCTGCCGGGAGCCGCCGCTGGTAGGGAAGTGCGTCTGGCCCCTGGAGTCGGAGATCATCGTGAACCAGGCCTGCACCGACATGCCCATCATGGAGAACGGCAGGAGCGGCGCGGGCCTGAGCAGGACGCCGCCGCGCAGGGAGAAGTTCTGCCAGGGTCACCGCAAGGCCAGCTCCGAGATCTGCTACCACCGCAAGACGCCGTCGGACGAGGTCATTGTGAACCAGTACGTGCTTCACCAGTCGGCCAACTCTGAGCCCCTGGAATGCCCGACCTGCTGCCACACGTACAACTTCACCAACAAGCGCCCGCGGATCCTGTCCTGCCTGCATTCGGTGTGCGAGGAGTGCCTGCAGATCCTGTACGAGTCCTGCCCCAAATACAAGTTCATCTCCTGTCCCACGTGCAAGCGGGAGACCGTCCTGTTCACCGACTACGGGCTGGCGGCCCTGGCGGTGAACACCAGTATCCTCAACAGACTGCCGGCTGAGGCCCTATCCGCCAACCCGGTGCAATGGAGCGGAGACGCCGACCGGAGCTGCTATCAGACCTTCCAGCAGTACTGTGGAGCGGCCTGTAGCTGCCAGCTCAGAAACCCGCTGTCTTCCTGTGTCATCATGTAGCCCACAATAAAAACAAGCAGAGGAGAAGGGCCTGTTTTCCCCTGCGCAAGAGGTGCTTGCGAAAGGATTACTCCAAGACTTTTAAAACAACTCGCTGTGCAGTGCAGCGCAGCATTCTATATGGTAAATTCCTATAACTACTCAATCTCGCCTGGGAGTTTCTGTGTGTTTTCTGTGAAATCAAGGTACAAAACCCAGATGAAGTGGCAAGTATTCTACCGTCTTGATATTTTGCCTGAAAGGCTGTGTTGCCAAGCAACCTGCACATAGTGACTTTGACCTCGGAATTGCTTCTTTCTGCACAAATAATATACCAAGATGTTTAAAACCATGCCAATGTAGCGTAATGCCAGTCCTCCCGGACGCCAGCTATAGGTTTGTAAAGCTTAATGTGCGCTCGGTTCAGCAGTATTCACCAGCCGAACGAAGCCCCTTCCAGCCCAGGCCGGCCAGCGACCTCCTCAGACCTTCACTAAGATCGCGAACCCCGTTAGAATATTTTTGTAAACCAAATTTTAGACGAATATCTTCTAAAAGGAAAAAAAAACAGTTCAACTCTAATGCTGTTGTTTTTAATTCGTGCATTTTCAAAATTGGAAACTGCTTGTGTAAAGCATAAAGCACAGGCCCGTATTTTAACCTAACCTCTCTGACGTCCACAACACTCAAAGCTGTCCGTGCTGTGTCAGCCCACAGTAGCCGCAAGGAGCCAGCCTCGTCTGTGCTGCTTTTATTGGGGGGAAGGGGAAGGCGGAAGGGAGCTGGGCTGAAAAGGGTTAAAGTCCGGTTCTTTATCAGACCAATTTTGTCACGGTAACGAGAGAATAAAACCTGTCACTGTGCGTCAGTGCGTCAAAGCGAATGGCTTTGTTCTGCTCAGTGTCCTGTGCCACCACACGGCTCAATCCATACGCACCAAACCTATTAACCCTTGTCATCACATGAAGTATACAGAGCCCATGTGGCCAGTGATAATAGTGAATATTGGAAAGCGTATTGAGAGCAGGGTTAGGATCACCAAGAACGTTTCTTTATCGATTGTATTCTGTGAATAAACTCAAATACTAGAACCTCGGTTTGTCTCTATGGTATCAAGTGTGCCATTGTGTTAATTGAAAGGGAGAACGGTGGGAGCACAGATACACGTTCCGGTAAAAGTGGTTAAACTGGCAGCGGTGACGGGTGAATCGCAGTGCAACCAAGGCATCTGTGGGTGAGCTTTCGCACCCGCACCAGAGCTTCCTCCTCAGTTTAACTCATCCAGGGCAGAGCTTTGCAATTGTGTTGAACACGTTGCCAGAATGAGTCTTCCAGGAGAGCGGACTGATACAGGCCAGATTCAGTATTGTAGGCTGTACACTGCACTGCATGCTGAACATCATAGGATGCAGCAGAGAAACCTCAATATCACAGGCACAACCCAGTTTTCATAGGCAGCTGATTATCATAGGCTACAGGCACAGGCTGTTCATAAGGTATAAAAAACAGAATTCACAAGTTGAACAAATACCACTGACAGCAGAGAGAAAAGCCTGAATTTTACTGGCAACGGTCACAGAGAGCAGAGACTGCTTGTCACAGCAAATGGTACAGCAATGGGATTGTGTTTCCCAGGATTGGGATGGGGACTGGCACAGTCCTGAAATGGGGCCTGTATCATGTTTACTTTGCACGTGTGCTGACATCCTGGGTTTATCTGGGAACAGTGGTGGGAGTCTGAGCACAGCCTGATAACAGACCGTCACCATCACTGAACAATCTGTGCAGCGGCAACCTCCGCCAGACCCCTGGGGCCAGGCTGGTGGGGAAATCCGAGCACACGGTGGTCAGCCTCTGTGACAGCTTCAGTCCTCACAATTTGCAGTTCCATCCTCTGCAACGTCAAACCTCTTGAAAAACAACGGTCAATAATATGGGGATGACAGGGACCAACACATGCAGAGTTCATATTTTTAACTGTATTTCTCCATAATCTTTTCTCATCTTGAAGGTGTAAGAGGGAGACTGAGTGAGCTCTATACGTGTGTGAGAGACACTGAGTGAACTGTGTGTGTGTGTGTGTGGTATTGAGCGAGACACTGAGTGAACTGTGTGTGTGAGAGAGAGACACTGAGTGAACTGTGTGTGTGTGTGTGTGTGTGAGAGAGAGACACAGTGAACTGTGTGTGTGTGAGAGAGAGACGCGTATGTGTGCGTGTGTGAGACACCGAGTGAGTTGTGTGTGAGACACCGAGTGAGTTGTTTGTTTGTGGGACATTGAGTGAGCTGTGAAACAGTGCATTTCATTTTCGCTGCTGGGGTTTGTAGTGACTAATGAATGAGAATAAGCTGTGCTGTAATATGAGTTTTGTCTCATCAGTTTTTTTTGAGTGCAATTGGCAAAGCAGTGCCCACAATGGATAGATTTCGACCCCATCTATCATATGGTTCCACAACTGCCAATATCTATGAATAAATAATAATAATTTGGTCGCTCAATTCACTACTGTTTGTGGGACACTCCTGTGCCCATATGGCTGCTGCGTTTCGCCCACAAAATATACAATCAATTCACTTTACAGTATATTCTGTGAAGTGCTTTGAGACGTCTAGAAGACGTGATAAGGGGTTATATCAAATGCAAGCGCTTCACAGAATACATTGTAAAATGGATTGACTATGCATTTTGTGGGCAAAATTATCAAACGCGATTAGTAGTATTAATATTAATCTCCATGAGGCGTGTGACGGGAAGGAAAAAATATCTGGACTATCAGGGCCAAGTGTTCAGATGTACATGATGCCATCTTCCTCCTGTGTGCCATCTGCTGTGTCCAGTGTGATTATAAAATCTGCCCACGCAGAGGGATTGGATGCTTCGCAGACCTTCCAGTCCTGCGCAATCGTAAATGTTAAGGCAAAATGGTTTTATAGACGGCGACTTGGTGTCATTTTAAACTCAAGGCAGGTGGCCTCCAACTGGATTTGTTTGAGATTGGTGCCATTTGCAGGTTTCCCCATACACGGGTATGAGGGTCAAGATCAGTGTCTGGTGGGATATAAGCCTGGGGTTGTTGGGTGGGAACAAATGTCTAATGGAACAAGCGTGTGGGTAGTGTGCAGGGTTCATACCCCGCACACCAACCCAATTAAGACGTGTCAAAGCGCTTCACAGAATAAATTGTAAAGTGGATTGACTGTATATTTTGTGGGTGAAACGCCCTTCTGACTCAGAGCTACCACTGCGCCAGGCTGACACACAAACCATTACCCCCCCCAGAAAGCAGTCCGCCAATTGACTAACAATCGTGGGCGAACATAAAGCTGATGGTGAGATACACCTCATAGTTAGTGTATAAAAGATTTTAACAAACAATGAATTGGCATCATCAAACAAACCATCAGACAGAGTCACAGGAAATGAAAGAGACCTTTGTGAACTGAAATTATAGCAACTCCATCATTTGGGTCACTTTTTCCACAGCACAACAGAAGTTATTAATAATGCTGGACCCAAGCTTTGAATTTACTCACTGAATAACCTCAAGAATATAAATAATGCAAAACTACCTCAAAGTGCAAAATACCCCATCCCACACAGGAAAACTTGTAGGTTCAAGCTAAGTTGACACTCTAATTGCAGTGCGCAAGAGGGGGTGGGTGGAGTGCGCAAAGTATTGTTTTATCAGAGGTACTGATCTTTGAATGAGATGTTAAACCGAGGTCCCGTCTGTCTGTTCAACCGAACGGTAAATATCTACTATTAAAAGGAGAAGGAAATTTTTCATGTTTCTTGGCCAACAATCCAGATAATGTTTTTCTTTTCTCTCTGGAGATAAGTCGATTGAAAGGGGACCTGATCAAGATGTTTAATATTATGAAATGATTCAATAATGTAGGCATTTAATAGACTGTTTCTACTTGTTGGTGAGTCCAGAATGAAAAGGCACAAATCTAAGAGACAGTAACAGATCTAAAAGGTTTAAAAAGGAATTTCCTTTTTGCAGAGAATGGTGGGAATGTGGGACTCTTGCCTGAAGCTGTGGGTGAAGCAAAAAAACCATCAACGTATTTAAGAAGAAACTAGATACATACATGAGGCAGAAGGGGATAGAGAGTGGGTAGGAGAGGGATTTTAGGAGGGGGTGGAAGCTCCTGTGTAGTATAAACACGGGTGCGGACTATTTGGGCTGAATGGTCCACTTCTGTGCTGTAACATACCATGTAACAAGCCTTTAAATAAATTGGTTTGTGGGACCTTGCTGTGCATGAATCAGCTGTCACATTGGCCTACAATTACAAGGTCACTACACTTGATAGCAATTACCTGTGAAACACTTGGTGATGATTTGACGTTCTATATCGCCCACAAAATATAGCCAATTCACTTTACAGCAGTATATTTTGTGGAGTGCTTTGAAACGTCTCAATGATGTGATAAGGTGCTGTATCAAATGCAAATATTATTGTTATATCAAATGCAGAGATTACTTGTACTAAGCTTCAGACTAGGACTGTAGGGAATATTCACAGCTGCCAGTAAGAGTTCATTTAGATTGCAGTGAATCCTACCACTTCTCAAGATTCTTGTACAACTGTTTCATTTACAGCAGGTCTGCCATTCTAATATTTGTGGGTTGTTAAAAAAAAAGTATTCTTTGGATTTGATACAGCACCTTTCACGTTGGGAGGACCTGGTGATTTGCAGGATATACTGTAAGGTGGTGCATTGACTGAACTTATTTGTGGGTGAACGTGGCAGTCAATTTTCAGACTGCAATGCCCTTCAAAGAGCCATGAAGTGAATGATCAATTTTATTGGGAGGATTGTTGGCCAAGACACCGGAGGAAACTCCAATCTCTTTTTGAATAGTACCATGGGATCTTTAACATCCACCTGAACAGGTAGGCAGGACATTCGTTTACAACAACAAATTGCATTTATATAACACCTTTCACGATAGAAGGATGTCCCAAGGTGAGGGTTTGCACCCGACTTGGGGGTTGGATTCAAGGGGATGGGGGTGATGGAAGGGCAGATGACTAAAGGCCCAGTCAAAGAGGAAGGTCTTGGGATGGACCTTGAAGGAAGTGAGGGAAGGGGCAATGTGAAGGGTCTCTGGGATGAATTTCCACAAAGAAGGGGAAGATAGGCTGAAAGCTCAACTCCTGATGGTTGGGCAGAGTGATGGATGTGAAGCAGACCAGTGCTTGCCGAGCGGAGAGAGCGGGAAGATTGGTAGAGCTAGGGTGGGGCAAGATGGTGGAGGGATTTAAAAGTGAGGACGAGGATCTTGTACTCAAAAACATCTCATCTGAAGGATGGCACCTCTGACAATGCAGTGCTCCCCCAGCATTGCCCTGGAGTGTCAACCTAGACAGTCAATTGATCTGGCATCATACAGAGATGTGGGATGGTGCACAGTGAACGGTGCACAATATCGGGAGCTCGCTGACAGGGAATGAAAAACTCCAGACAACATATTTAGGTCGAGGCTGTAAGGCCCTGCGAGAGATTCCTCAGTTATTATTATCTGAACTGATTAATCCAGGAGCGAGTGCTGGAACAATTGCATGGGTTTGTAACTGCAGGGTGGGGGGGTGGGGGGTTGACTGCATTCTCCGTAGCTTCTAGTGTTAACATAATATTAGAATAGTTTAATACTCTGCTAGTGCTACAGAGGGTCTGGTTACAGTTTTACAGTATTAGTGTCACAGCATTATCTTAATAAATAATAATAATCCTTGCATTTGATACCCAGCCTTAGTATGTCGTTGAATCGTCTCATAGTGCTTCACAGGATTTACTTAGGTTAGAGTGTGGTGATTATGTATTTGCAAGCAAATGTGGCAGCTTGTTTGCGCAGCAGTGTCCCACAAACAGCCATGAAGTGAATGAACAATTTTATCTGCAGGATTGTTGGCCAGGACACTGGCTGTACCAGTGACCCAGAGTTTCCCAGATTCCAGGGATTGTTCAGAGTCGAGGGCTTTCTTGACTAATGCGGAAAGACGTCTGCAAAGCAAGAAGTGACGATACTCCCTGAAATCCGTAGCAGTGTGATTGATCTTTGATGCGTTCCTGGCATTTCTGGTGTGCTCAAGAGCCGTGGGCTATCTCAGGCCATCAGCAAGGTGTACCTCAGGGCACCTAGTGACCTTTAGCTCTGTTGCTGTGGTTCATTTGTGTCTGTGCAATGTTAAATGGTTAATCGTCGAACCTTCTGTGTCAAGTGCGTAAAGCTGCTCATGTGGTTACAGTACAAGAGTAATAGTGTGACAGAGGCACACGTACACTATAACAGCTCTCTGTCACACAGAATGATCAGTGAGTGGAGGCAAGGTCAGCCTGTGTTAGGTAAGGCTTAATGGTGAGAGAATTAGAAAAGAAAGTGAAATTACAGAACTGGGAATGCAGAATCTGATAGGCTTCCTTCTTGTTTACCCTCTGTGAGGTGAGCAGTAAGAGTGCAGAACAGCACTGCTCCCTCAACATGCCCAACGTGCTGCTTTCAGTCACTTTGGACAAGAAAAGACAAGATGGCTTCACGGTGACTGGAAGGAGCTCGGTGCTGCTGAAAGCAGACTCCTCGCTCCTGCTGCATTGCCTGAGGTGCACCATCTGTTACACTGACTAACAGAAATCAACAGACATAGAAGCCCACAGCAAGCATTGTAACACGTCCTCCAAGCACAAGGCTCTCCACGCCATTTTATGTTGTGATGGTTACCTTGCTGAATAAACAACATCTTTTTTAGTTACAAAGGGAACAACCATTTAATGCCCTGAATAACAGGAACAGGGAATCTTCATTTTATACTGAATGGGCAGTGATCACCTCGTAATAACTTTTTTTTAAAAAGACTTGGCTCGTATCAATCTGCTTTTGCGAGGTGTTCTAAGAAGGCAATCAATGTGTAAAGGGTAACATAGCATCAGGTTTGGGATTCATCTCTGGAGGCTGTTTTATTACAAAAATTGATGGCTGGTGATTGGAATCTGTCCCTTTTCCCCACTGAGGTCGGTGTGTGCCGTCACAATGAAACAATCTGCTGTAGAGCTGGTAATGTCGTATATCTTTTACTAGGAAATGCCCGGGTTTATTTTGAATCCCGAATATGTCTTAAGCACAGCGGAGGGGGCATGGGTGGGGTGTTGAGGCTGGAGGCTGTTAGGCAGTAAATCGGCTGATTGTTGGAACCTCATGAGGGTTTCCTGCTTTTCGAGGAGTTTATGTGACTGAGCACCACACAGCGGCTAAAGAGCAGTAATGCAGCAAATGGCACATCCAGAATAGCAGGTCTTGTCCTACATACTTCTACTACTGCTAATAATACTCCTTGTATTCAATATAGCACCTTTTTGTTTCAGGAGAATGTCTCAAAGCGCTTCGCAGGATTCACTGTAAAGCGTAGTGAGTATGTATATGATGGCGAAAGTGGGCAGCTAATTTTGCACACAGCAAAGTGCCCCACATAATATAATATAGCGCCTTATCATATTGTCTCATAGGAACAGGAGTAGGCCATTCAACCCCTAGAGCCTGTTCCGGCATTCTTTTAGATCATGGTTGATCTGTACCTCAACTCCATTTACCCGCCCTTTGCTCCATATCCCTTGATACCCTGACCTAACAAAAATCTGTCGACCTCAGTTTTGAAAATTTCAATTGATCCAGCCTTTTTGGGGGAGAAAGTTGCAGATTTCCACTACCTTTTGTTTGAAAAAGTGCTTCCTGATTTCACCCCTAAATAGCCTGGCTCTAATTTTAAGATTACGCCCTCTTGGTTCTGGATTCCCCTCACCGGAGTCTCAAAGTGCTTCACAGGATTTAACTGTGATGTGCACTGACTGTGCAGTTGTAGGCAAATGGGGCAACCAATTTGCACACAGCAATATCCCATGCCCAGTCATGAAGTGAATGGTAAATTGTATCTGGGGTATTGTTGGCCAGGACACTAGAGAAACTCCCTTCTCTTTTCAAATAGTCCATAGAATCTTAATATCCCCGTGAACCGGCAGACGGTACCTCGACTTAACGTTTCATCCGAGGGATGCCACCTTTACAGTAAGTCCCCCCTACAGTCCATGTTCTGATGTGAAAGGTGCTAGATAATATGTAAATTGTACTGGATTGTAAATTATGTGAAGCATGTTGAGACGTGCAGTTTTGAAGGTGCTGTAGCAAATGCAAGGATTATTATCTAGTTTACCTGAGGTGATGTGAGAACAGAGTGTCTGCATGAAGTGGTGCAAAGATCTATTGAGGTACGGAGGGCTATTAAATGATAATCAGGCATAAGGTAAACTGAAACTACAAGGCTTCGGAATGCAGAGCTACGTGGCATCTACTCATCTTACCAGCGTGAGACACCGTCTGCTATGTTTCGCTGTCCTTGTCCAGTTCGGACCATCGATGGCAGGAAGGGCTCAGGTAGGAAAAAGTACACAGGCCTCATATAAAGAAGCACACATCTGGGAATAGAGGTCGGAAAGACGTTCTGCTTTTAGAGCCTGAAAGAATCCAATATCTCCTAAAGTGATCTTGAAAAGGACCCTTCTTTGCTATTTCCTATTTGTGAAGCCCAGCCCAGACCAGCAGGAATCAAGACGCATTTAATACCTGCCTTTGTTACTGCTGGGAAATAACAACAGCAGCTTGCATTTATATAGCGCCCTTCGCGCGGAACAGCATCTCAGAGTGCTTAAGGGACAACCCTAAAGGGAACCAGAAGACGTGTGAGAAACCGGGCTAAATTAAGACGAAAGTATACCTGTGACAGCTGGGAAAAGGTGTTTCATTTTTATTTCACCAGTCCCAGCTTACAGCAGAGCCTTTCTTGATTGTACAGCTGCAATCCAGTGGCGAAACCTGTTAGGACTTTGCCCCTGCACCCTGTTCAGCTTGCTACTCTGGGACTTTTTCAATCGATTTCCTTGTGATTCATAACGTTCCATTCTTCAAGGCCTGCGGAGGGAGTTGATGGATCTTTCCGCTGCTGTAATTGATTCCTCAGGGAAGGTATGTAACCTTGAATGAGTGAGTTTGTGTGTGTGAGAGAGAGAGAGATCATTGATAGCGCCAGAGTAGCAAGATATCATGCAGCCGGTTGAAATAATACGCTGCAGCATCTGCCTGGAAGACTACAGTGTGGAGGGTGAGAGCAAGCCTCGCATTCTCCCGCGGTGCCTGCACACCTTCTGCGAGCGATGCCTGGAGAAGCTGTCGGAGCTCAGCGACTGTCAGATCGTGTGCCCCGTGTGCAGAGAAGTGAATGATGTAGAGGAGGCTGGCGGAGTGCTCAGCCTGCCCATCAGCACTAGGATCTCGCTCCCTGTGCAGGCAGCTCCACACGCCCAGGACGTTGACGTTTTACGCTTTGTGGATCCCGCTTGCCCAGCTTGCCCGGCCTGCGGCAGCATCACCCTGTACGCTCCTTTCGGAGCAGAGGAGAACATCCTCCAGTGCCACACGTGTGACTGGCTGAGCGGAGAAGACATCCAGGCCCAGGGGAGCTCCCTCACAGCACGGCAAAAGCTGCCCAAGGCAAGCAGGCAACGGCTCCCGGTGCCTCCGCAAGAACAGCACCAGGAAAGTCTGCCGTCTCAAGACCAGCACGAATCGAAGGGCTGTGCTCTCTCTTGAGGTAAGTCACGACTCGTGACGAAGCTGTAACACTTACACAGTGGGCCGCTGCTGTACTTATAGGGGCTCTAGGTAATGTGCTCAGCATTGTACAGTGCAGGTCAGCACTGGCTCCCCCACAATGGTACATGAGGGGTAGAGATCAGCATTGGAACAAACAGAGACTAGAGGTCAGCACGAGGATCTCTGGAGCAATGGTCGAAGGATCAAGTTAAAAATAGTGGAGATGACATCAAGCCCTGGGCATGTTACACGATACACAGATTATCAATTTTGGAAAATTTTCTAGTTATAATAATAATAATCCTTCTATTTGTTATAGTGCCTTGTCACGTCTTCAAGACATCTCAAACGCTTTGCAGAATATACTGTAAATTGAATTGACTGTGTATTTTGTGGGCAAAATACGGCAGCCAATTGCACCCAGCAGCGTCCCACAAACAGTTCTCATGGTTCTCATTGCCAACAGAATGAGTTTTTTTGCGTACGTTGCCCACAACCACATCTCCCTGACTTTGTACGTGCGACTGAATGCTGATGTTCTGTTTTCTAGTGCCTAGCTTCTAGTTCTCCTGCGATCACAGAGTCACTGTAAATCGTGTGAAGCGCTTCAGGACATGCTCCCCATGTGAAAGGCACTACACCAAATGCAAGAATTATTATTATTATTTATTATTATTGCATTAGAGGGGTGGGTGAAGTGTAGGGTCAAGTAGCAGCGACAGTTGGTGAAAGCATCGGTGGATTGTATTTTTCTTAACTTTCAGTGTATTGATCCTGTTGACTCTATTTCATTCATTTCCTGATATGTGTTTCCCACAGGAGCACGTTCCTCACAGATCAGTAGTTGTGTCCTGTGAGAGTGATTGGAGTTTATGGCTATCCTACAGAGAATGCTGAGCTGGCTGGGCAGTTTGCAGTGCGTTCCTGACACCCAATGTACTGCTGCATGTCTCTCTCTCTCTCTGTGTCTAGGAGAGTGAATGAATTATGCTTTACCCTGGGCAAGTGAAGACCACAAGAACTTTACGCTCTTATCTGCCAAAGATTTCCTCAACTAAGTTCAATCCTCGAGAGATTTGGAAACAATTACTTGGATTTCTGTCCTGCCCGATTGGATGAACACCACATGCCTGCAGTGTAAACCCTGAAGGTTACCCTGGTTAATGAACTGGACTCACCCTCTGTTCTCATTTTGAATGGTTGTTCCTGGATCTTTAACGTCCACTTGAACAGACAGGCAGTTTTCACATCTCATTGAAAGGATGACACCTCTACCAACACCGCAGAACTGCACTGAAGTGCCAAGATTGAGCTCAAAGTCCCAACGCAGGGCTTGATCCTACAACTTTCTCACCCACAGGCAAGAGTTGTAGCGGCTGAGCCAGACTGACATGTTGTGCCATGCAAACTTATAGCACCTTCCTCTATAGACAGCCGGGGTGTTTCATGAAAGCAGAATTGGGAATGGGAATGTGGAATGATTGAAATTGACCTTGCAGCGGTGAAACATTGTATTTTCTGGGCTCTATGGGTACTGCCTACAAACATTTTGCTGCATATAAAAATAATTGTTATATGCAGCAAAACATTATGATGAAAAGCTTTTGCAAATGTCTAGATTCGGACACAAGATCCACAGGGCTGTCATCTGTCGTATATGAGTGGGCAGATAGAGACGTCAGGGCATTTTTCTGTGGTTTGGTCAGTGCTGTTTGCTTACATAATTGCCAATCTGGCAAGACAGCAGTCTGCCATGTGTGAAATTAAACTGGGAGCTGGCACTAATGGGAGTCGGAGGCTATGTTTACGTGGTGTGTGTTTACTTACTCACTAATAGAGCAAGGGCTTTGGTCATAACCACTCGCTCCTCAATGGTAATACATTTGACCGTGTGTTTTATATGTAGTAATAAAATTTGTGAAGCTTCATGACTGGATACATTGTCAAAAGGTGTCTCTTAACACCCAGGCTCTCTCACTCGCTTGCTCAGACTGCCCCTCGCTGAGCTGAGCAGGTACCAGGAGCTTTGCATCAACAGGAGTGTTGCATTTCTTAAAATGCAATGATTTCAATGNAAAAAAATCTGTTTAAATGATCAGGCTGTGGGTGTGAATTGGCTGTAAGTGCGAACCAACCATGACTTCAGCGCTTCAAAATCCACAGTCTTAAGTACCAACTGAGTAAAGGTGAGTGTTTGAGGCCACAAGTCTCGATCTACAGTGTTCTCATATCCACGGATCCCACACAGTGTTCCCATGTACACACATACACCATGTACACTGAGATCATGCCATAATGTACGCATAACACTGTATCCATATCCACAGACACCTCATCATATTATACCCATATACACGGATGGTCTGTCTGACTGCCCAGGGTTAGTGGTGCCAAAGCCAGCCTGACTGGTGGCTTGGTTTATGTCTGTCCTTGCTCAATGTCCCTGGATGGATTAAGAATCCACTGATGTCTGGCAGCGTTCCCTGCAGGGCCCCTTGCCTCACTAATGAGCTCCTCAGCCATTGTGGATTAAATTCCTGTCTCTTCTTTTAACAGGAGCCATTTGCGTTCTGATCCAGACTAAACCAGTTCCAGACCAGGCCTTGCTGACGTTTTACCACCATTTTTATACCACTCTTTGGACCGGCTCTTATGTCAGCATTGCAGTAGAGTTTGCACGGCATCAACTGGAGCACGACATCAGGTATAAACACAACCTACTGGCGTAATGCACGTGTGTCATTCGTACGTGTGTTTGACTGGCCATTCCACTCAGAAACCACAGGGTCCGTCCCAAACCTCATTACGCAGGAACCAGAAGCTTGACCAGAGTGTGTATGGTTCTGTAGTGGCTGGTCCAGGCGTGAACAGGGTATTGGGAGAAACTCTCTGCCCCACGGTCTTTAAAGTCCTCAGAAAAGACCCCAGTTCTTTGGTGAAACATCTCTTCTGAAAGCTGTTGAGAAGCAAACTGTTCAAAAGAAAAATCCACTCCATTACATTATATTTGGCCCACAAAATACACACAGTATATCCTGTGAAGCATTTGGGATGTCCTTCCCAATGTGAAAGGCACTGTGCCAAATCTAAGCATTATTATTATTTGCATGAGAGTCCTCATCCAAGAGAATGAATATGACTGTGGAAATGTGTCTTGCTCCACAGGTTTCCAGGAAAACATTACTGGTCCAGCTTTGTGTGGGTGGGTTTGGATACTTTTGTCAACTTACAGGAACTCAAACATGCCATGTTACACCAGACCCTTGAGACCATTGATCAGGAGCTGTCTCAAGCTACGAAACAGGATTGGCTCAATCCTGCATCCAACATATCTGCAGGTAATAGCGCCTTTGACAGCACAGCACAACCCAGCAGCAAATGTGCATGTGTACAAGCAAACTACACAGAGCACACCGAGGCCTTTAGAGCAAAGTTTCACTTTATTTTATCGAATTCAGATAGGGCTACCCAGCATCTGAGTAGGGTCCAAAGGAGAATAACAACACTAAACACATACATGAGACTTGTGCTTTTGTGCCAATCTGACTCTCTTGTGTTACACCTTTTCTAACTACGTGAACACTCTCTATGTTACACCCTTTCTCAGTGTAACATTATCTGTTTACACCAGGTCTCAGTACAACTCTCTCTGTTTTATCCCAGAGACAGCACGCACAGAGTGAGAGTGGTTCAAGTGGAATCCTTCATTACAATGGGATAAACGGACAGGCAGTTTCGATACACGATTCACTGAAGCCTTCAGTTGCTGCATACTGATGTAAACTGATACTGAATTGTGAGCTTGTCTGGGATAGGGCATCCATTGTTGCAGGGCTGGAAATCGGGCACAGAATCTGGTCAGGCTGCTCATTGCTTATTGCAGAATCTCAGGTAATGACAGTCTGTATGAGACTGTGCTGGAGCCTCACTGAGGGTAACTCTTCTGTTTCAGTTCCAGACCGGCGAGCCCTGCTGCTGAAGATGCAGTGCAGTCTCAGCAAAATAATTGTGAATCATGGCTCCATGTCGTCCGTGTTGAAACTCCTCCTGTTCCTGATAACAGAAGCCATCAGCAGATTGGCTCACACTGGCACAGGTAGGGGGAGGACACACAGAGATCTCCCTGTCACAACTTTAACCTCCTAATTAACTCCTCTAACTCTGTGTCTGACACTCTGAATGTTAAGATCCATTCAAAATAATAATTCACTTGCTAAACTCACTCACGGCATAACTATAAAAGTTCCTTTACTCTGCACAATAAATAGTCATTCTACATAGGAGTATAATAGAATCATAGATTCTTACAGCACAAAACGAGGCCATTCGGCCCATCATGCCTGCGCCGGCTCTTTGAAAGAGCTATCCAACTAGTCCCACTCCTCCACTTCACTTACTTTACTACACAAACAGGAACACCATACACAATAAATAACTCCTACTTTACTAAATAAACAGGAACACTGTAACAGATTAAATCAGCATAGGTCCCACTCTGCTATGTGAACTATTGCACTGACCCAAAGATTAAATAAAAAAGAGCCTCACATTTTTCACATCCTGACCTTTGTCCTGTTGCTTATGATGACTGTCCCAGAGCTGATCCCCACCTCAAGGCAAACTCCCCTTCCTCAGCTTAACTTCCCTTGCTCGTACTGTTTGTGGGCGTTTTGCCACGAAACTTGAATTTATACTGGAAAAAAACAGTTAACCTCTTCCCTGATAAATAAACTGGCACTCTAGATTAACCCTTACGGAGAGGCTGAGATAAGAAGCCCCTTTTGCCCATTTGATCTCATCCTTCCACAATACCCACCTCGCTATCTTCCTATTACAGCTGGGAACTGGTTCTGAAATGAACTCTCTCTCACAAACCCCACCACCCCCCCCATAATAAACAGGGACGTGGGAATTGAACTCATGCCACAGGGAATGTCAGAGGGGAGAGTAGTAATATAATAACAATCCTTACACTTGGTGTTGCGGCTTTCACATTGGGAGGGCGTCCCAAAACACTTCACAGGATAAACTGTACAATTTTTTTTTAGTGGCAAAAGAGCGTTGGTTGCGGTACAGCAGTAGCTGAGTGACCTGGTTGGTTGGTTGGTTGGTTGAGTGAGTGTTAAGATTGCTCCGTGCATTCATATCCCTTCTCTCCAGCAGATTACCCCACAGTGAAGGTAACCACCAATATAATCAACATCCCAGGGATCTCCTCTCTGCTCCGTTTGCTGGGCTTTCACTTCCAGCCTCTGGTATGTCCCATCCCGTACATGACCACCCCACGGACTCTCCCGACTTGTTCTGCTGGCATTCCCCGGACACACCCCGTGGCTGTTATTTTTCCTCGTTTGGATGAGGATGGGCTGCTCCACCCGGCTCAGGATGCTATCTCTGCCATTAGAGGTCAGTGTCACAACCTTCACACATTCCACCACGAGGCGGGCTGAGCAACAGCTGATTACACTGTCACACTTACCCAGTGTGTACCCCAATCCCTGTCACACTCACCCAGTGTGTACCCCTAACCCTGTCACACTCACGCAGTGTGTACCCCCATCCCTGTCACACTTATCTATTGTGCCCTCTAATTGTGTCATCTACTGCTTCCTGGTGTGTGCTGCTCATAGTCTCACACCTCTACCTGAACTATTAAAGTAATTCCATTTATTACATTAAACACGTCAATTTAAAAAAAAAACATAACCTCCTCACCACTAAAGATATATAACATGATTGTACAGTCGCTTCCTGCAGCTAAGGTCTGTCAAACCTCATTCTAGTTAATTAGACTTCATCTCTCTGTATATCTCTCTGATGGTATTCCGTCCAAACTGAACCCAGTTCTCCATATGAGGTGTGGCCACTGCTTGCTGCTCCATCCTAGACTTCTTGTGATAAAGACCAACGCTCTATCAGCCTTTAAACTGCCCCGAAATCTATATTATTTTAACATTAACCTTCATGAACTTGGTTTCTAATTTGAGTACTAGTGATTGCCTCAAGTTTCCTTCTGTGCTATTTTGGATTCAATATGTGTGGTGTTGATCTCAGATCTCTGCAACTCCACTCACTGTATGAATGCATTGAACTGGATCACGCCCTTGAGTGCGGAGAACCTGGATCTGCTCATTCCACTGGTAGGTCACATCTCGTTCTTCATGTCCTTTGTATCTCACCATCTGGGTTATTTTCCACCCTCGTTCTTCCCAAGTTCCATATTCACCATCTTACTTATTCTTTCTCCCTTCCCGGGACCATCTCCTGCTTCACTTTCCCATCTTTCTGCAATCTACAGACTTCAAAGATCAAGCTTTGCTTACCCTCTACTACTTAATCTATTTTGCCTTCTACTTCCTACTCATTTCAGTACATTCTGTGAAGTGCTTTGAGACGTCTAGATGATGTGATAAGGCGCTATATCAAATGCAAGGATTAGTATTATTATTATTTCAACCTTGCTTGTGTCCTGCACCTTGGTCCTTCATTATGGTCCTTCACAATAATCCTTACATTTGATGTAGCGCCTTATCACGTCCTCGATACGTCTCAAAGTGCTTCACAGAATATACTGTAAAGTGAATTGACTGCATAGAATCCCTGTCGATCAGTCTTATTTGCTTCAAGTTGTCTTATTTCTTGGGATCTTGTTTTGATTTCTAAGGCTTTGATGTTAGCATTTGCTCCGTTACAGTTGGAGAAGACCAGAGAGTGGCCCAAGGTTTGTCTCAGACTGACAGATAAACAAGTGGCGACCATCTGGAACCAGCCCCATCTTAGATACTTCCTGCAGGTCCTGGGATTTGAGCAGGCGCGGCTCTGCCTTCTCTTTGTCTTGAGGAAACGCAACATGTGAGCGCAGGGCAGAGTCTGGTGATGTATTTATTATGCTCCCCCCACCCGCCCCCCCACTCCTTTCCCTCTCTTTGTCAAGTTTCTCCATCACAGGAGATGTACACTGTACATCATGTGGGTGCCAGTTACTCCGGTGTGAAGGTATAGATGGGAGGAGCAAAACAAGACCCAGTGGCCCATCAGGTCCACTCCCGATAGAGACAGCCCTCGCGCTCCACCTCCCGTACAGTGTCCACCCCCACGTCTTTCCTGGCCTATCTTAGGCAGGCGAACAAAACAGGGAAAAACCCCAAATAATGGCCAATTCAAGAAATAAAAATGACCTGGAATATTCCTGCAGGTACTGGAGTGAGTGAACTCCAGGGGAGCCCAACGCCAACACGGGAGCTTGACTCGATCTCCCCTTCACCCTGTCCCACCTCAACGGACACGAGAGCAGACAGCGATTGTGTCCCTGAGCACCTCTCTGATTCTCTCGCTGGCCGTTGCCACGTAGGAACGATCAGAGAGTCGAGTTAACCCCAGACGCTCTCGTGGTCCTGCTCGAGACGCACACGTCACCGTAGGCCCAGTAATGAGTCGCAAGCTGTCCTCTTGGCTCGTAATGGAGCAACTTTACAAAGAGAGGGAAAGGGGAAAGAATAATAAGTACATCGGAAAGGAAGGGCGGTGAGAGTTGCAGAATATTACAACACCAGGAGCTGGGCTCCTCCTGAGAAGCCACGAAAGTAGATTCTCTGCTGTTTACATTCTCCTGACGTGAAAGGCGCTATACAAATGTAATCTTGTTGTTGTTGTGCTGGATTGAGTCAGACCAAAGAGCTAGGTTTCAATGTGGGTGGGCTGTGATCTCAGTTGGTACAGTCGGTGTACAGTATCAGTACAGAATGCCCAGGGACTTGCACCTAAACCCAAGCATGCCCCAGTGTAACATGCACTGCGGGATTTACACAACCCTAGACATGCCACTGGCTGCTGCTTATCAGAATAATGATAAAAGATTGAATTTTCTGCTCATCCAACCCACAGGCCACTACTGCTCGGGAGCTTAAAATTCTTCTCCGCTGTACGGTTTACACCTCAACAAACCGCCGCGCAAGTCAGAGTGGGCACCGAGGAACCCTCGACTGTCAGTGAGAGCTCAGCCCCTCCACCAAAGACCTCTCTGAGGACCTTGAAACCGGTGCTGGTACTGAGACAGCAGGTAAACAGCCACACACTGGACAGCCACACACTGACCATCACACTGGAGAGACTATCCCATCACACACTGGATCCACATAATGTACTCTGACAGACATGTTGCACACTCACACCACTATCTTCTATCGCTTCAATCCTGCCTTTTCTCTGTCTTGTCTCACACTGATTTAATTATAAATAGTGATATATTGTCTGTGCCATTTGTTATAGATACATTCTGTGATGTCTGGTCTCATTTGATCATTATATTCTGTTTCCCCACATCCAACCTGGGGCCCTGGCGTTGGTGCGCTGAAGCAGTTGCTGAGCTGAATGACTCAGGTTCATCTGTAATGCGTTTCTGCTTTGTTCAGATCATGGTGCAGGCTCCATGGCAGTCTGTCAAGGCTACTCATGAGGAGGAGAGAGTGAAGCACACACTGGCACAGAAACTCATCGCCATCCGCGCACAGAAGGAGGATGACCTGCATAGTGTGGAGCAGTGGCACAGACAAGCCCTGCAGAATGTGGAAAGAGCGAGAGAGCCCAAGGTCCCGACACAGGTATCAGCAGCCATGTCAAGGAAAGGGAGTTTAACTCAGTCAGTGCAAGCATTCAGACATGCACACAGACACACACACTCAAGTCTCACCCTCAAACTCACTCATTCTCAAACTTAGTCACACACACTCATACACATTCCACACACAAACTCATCCACTCACTCATTCTCAAACTTAGCCACACACACAAAACACACTCGCACACATTCGCATACTAACAATAAAATAATAACTCTTGCATTTGGTGTAGCAGCTTTTAAGTCTGGAGGTGTCTTATTATTATAATTATATAATAATAATAATAATCCTTGTATTTGATATAGTGCCTTATGTCTTAAAGCTCTTCACAGGATAATCTGTAAAGTGTAGTTTGTGGGCTATAGGAAGGAGGGAATTGCATGCAGTTGTGTGACAGATTGTTTTATTTGACCAGAAAAGTAACCTGATGAAAGTGAAGATGAAAGGACCGAGCTCTGGGAGCTATGATCGTATTCCTGCAGATCAGGTCATTCCCACCCCTGGCAAACAGACCATCAGATTGCGTTCAGCTGCACAATCTATCGCAAAGGAAAAGAAGGAGAACATTCAACTGCGACACCAAGCTGCAGTCAAAGACCTCTTCCTGCCCTTTATCCAGCCTTGCCCTGACAGCCAGCCTCTCTCTGTCTGCACGTGTTCTGCGCTGACTGACGTGTGAGTGGCAATACAAGAATCTTTTAACTGTAGCAATGCTCATTTCATCCTAACCCTAACCCTGATGTCGCTAGCACCTGGAAAACAAAATTAAAAAACAAAATTGACATTTTAAATGAGTTCATATGATAATTCATCTCTAAAAGGAGACAATAATAATAATACCAAATGCAAGGATTATTATTATTTGATATAGCACCTTATGTTGTTGAGATGTCTCAAACGCTTCACAGAATATATTGCAAAGTGGATTGACTGTGTATTTTGCGGGTGGAGTGTGGCAGCCAATTGCGCACAGCAGTGTCCCACAAACACTCATGGATTGAGTCACCAAAATATGCTGGGATTAATGATGTAGTTTCAAAGGATCATATCAGAGATGGAGAGCGGGGGTTGCTAATCTATAATGAAAGGCTGGATAGGTTGAGGGCGTATTCTCTGGAGCTGAGGGGTTGAATTGATTGATGTACCAGTTTCACATCAGATCGCCTCTGTAGGGCGTCTGTAATAGGGCCTGTATTATTGAGACTGATGATATTGCGATTGTTGATACCACTGTGAATGTTGATACTGTATTAAGATTGCTGATGTTGAGATTGTCCTGAAGGCTTTCACATTATTACACATTTCCCTGTACGTACAGGGAAAGCTACCAAAAAAAAACTACTACAGTGATCCGTAACATTGAAGTATTTCACAGCTCTTCAGAGAGGGAGGGAGAGAGAGAGTGAGAGATAAAAGGGTTTTGGGGCAGAATGAACACTCAACCACCTGATCAGAAAGAAGCTCAGGGGAGCAAAATGAAGTGGAGTAGAGTTTCCCGCTGGAGAGGGCGACAGTCACTGTCTGTGATAATTTGGAATGAACCACACTTTGACGGGAGGAAAGTTAAATTATTTTATTTAGATCTCTAAAAATGTTTTAAAAATCTGATATGTACAATAAATCATTTAAAAAATAAATTGGAAGAAAATACTGTATAAAAAAGAGCTGGAAAGCCCATCACATATTATACCACACAGGCTCGGGATTCAATTACTTACGAGACACTATATGTAAGGCATTGGCTTCAGAACATTCCCTGAATCCCATCACCACTTTCGTCACTGCCTCTACATTTCACATAGTGTTTGTACAATAATCCCATTCATTCCAGGAAGCGTAACTCTTTACCATATCTCACTGGCGCTAACCATTTTTTAAAATCACACGTTTACAAAGGCTCCACAATTATGTGACAATTCAGGTGATTGTATGATAGCAATCAGCATCTCACCAAAGCTAAACATAACCAACGACCTTCACAGTACACACACTACATGTACATCCTTCAATATCACCCTAAAGTCTAACTATAAACCCATATTGCACACTATGCGTGCCCCTGAGTAAGAGTCTTGCCGGACAATCCTTCATCAATAATCCTGACATCTGATACAGGGTCTTTCATGTCAAGAGATTGTCTGAAAGCGCTTCACAGGATATATCGGAAAGTGTAGTGCCTGTGTATTCTGTAGGCAAGCAGTAAACCAAGGGGGATTACAACATACACGGGGGTGGGGGGGGTATGCAGAGTTCCGAGATAGCTATAGATTCCCCCTGTGGGTTAGCGTAAAGATTTCAGCTTCATACAATTAGTACAATATTCACAAAGACTCTACACAATAAACAGCTTCACAGTGACAGCGTGTGGGTATCAGGAGCCAGTGGGACAAACGCCAGATTCCTCAGAGCAGGAAAGGGCAGGATTATCCAGTCAGAAGCAGCACTGTTCTGCTCAGAACAATAGCAACAGCAGCAATCACACTGAACACAAGGCACGACCTACCGATAACATAATTTTGTTGTAAACATTTGATTCGGAGCAACACGTAATTTTCTGGATAATAAAATGGGAGTTAAGTGTAAAAATACGTTCTGTATATAAAAAGCCTCAGTAACCTGAGTAGATACCGCAATGATTTAACAATCAGATAACCCGAAGATGCTCAGGATTATCTGGCACAGATTTATACTAGGAACAGGGTGTTTCGGGGCTCATCACTCTCCAGGGACCTGCAAACGCAAAGCCCGGGAGCCCCAGAGGCAGGAACCTACAGGACTTAATGTACTTAATGTCCCATTTCATCACGTCTCGCCTCATACATGATTGATCAGTAAAACGGCCTAAACACACACACGCACACACACACACACACACACACACACGGCATACCCACAAAACACTTCTTTGTCACCTACAAGAAGCTCCAACCTGGAAGCATTGGGAAGCAGTCTCCAGGTATCTGGAGGGAATGACACATAAGGTTTGGCCAGATCCCGGGTTTCTCCTAACCCCCTCTCCGGCCTGGGGGTGACTTGGGAACGTCAATCAGTCAGTGCGATCCCTTGGGCTGGGCTCCCGTCACCAGTCCAGACCCTCTTGTCGGAAGGTGAAGCGCGGGCTATTCTCACTGTAGAACTGAGCGAACCAGCGACGATGGCGAGCGATGGCTGCATCCTCCTTCAACAGCAGCGGCTTCGAGATGTACTTCTTGTTGTTCCAGATCATCACGTCCCGCTCAAACTGAGAGAGAGAGAGCGTCAGTCACCAAGACAAGGCGACCCCACTCCCCTTTCCCTAACACTCACGACAGAATACCCTCCCAACACAGCCTCCCCAACGCAGATACACGCAGACAGACACACAGCTCCCCCCAACGCAGACACACACACACAGCTCCCCCCAACGCAGACACACACACACACAGCTTCCCCCCAACTCAGACACACACACACAGCTCCCCCCAACGCAGACACACACATACACAGCTCCCCCCAATGCAGACATACACACACACACACACACAGCTCCCCACAATGCGCGCACACACAGCTCCTCCCAACGCAGACATACACACACACACAGCTCCCCCCAACGCAGACACACACACACACACACAGCTCCCCCCAACGCAGACACACACAGCTCCCCCCAACGCAGACACACACACACACAGCTCCACCCAACGCAGACACACACACACAGCTCCCCCCAACGCAGACACACACACACACAACCCCCCCACCTGTAGTCAGAGTCTGGCTGTGTGGTTACCTGGACACATTCCGCTCTCAGGATGAATTTGGGGATGATGGCGGGGACTCTGGCCTGAAAGTAGATGCTGTGAGCCACTCGCTGCAGCAGCGGCTCCACGGGGGTCACACAGTGTAGGATCACCCCCGAGCCCAGCACCGAGTGGCTGATAAACAGGTGCACAATTCCGGGGCCCACCTTGAACAACACAAACACAGACGGGTGGAGGCCGGGGATAGGAGAGGCTGAGAGAGGGGTGGGGGAGACTGAGGGATGGGAGGAGGACGAGAGGATGGGTGGTGGGGAGGCCGAGAGGATGGAGGGGGCAGGCCGAGAGAGGTGTGGGGAGGGATTGGATTTGGGAGGGTCAAAGAGTAAGTTTTTTCCTTCAAGACGGGAAGGGTGTGGAGGACGCAAAGCAGGCAGGTGTGGAATGGCTGGTGGGGGGGTTTTGAAGAACACAGAGGTGGGGTGGGATGGGGGTAACATGGTGGAGGGCCGTAAAAGGAATACGTGGGTGGGTAGTTCTCACTGGCCGGTCAGTCAGTCAGTCAGTCAGTCAGTCAGTCGGTACCCACCTGCCTGGCGACCACATTCATGTCCAGGAGGGGGAAATGGTGGCCAAAGACGCAGAGGGTGTGGTTGATCAGCATGCGGGCGCAGTGCTTGTTGGGTTCCGGCTCCACTTCCCAATCCACCTGCCGACAACATGGAAGTTACACAGTCACTTCGCTTTACGGTTTATTCTGTGAAGTGCTTTGAGACGTCTCGAAGACTTGACAAGACGCTGTGTCAAACGCAAGGATTATTATTATTTAATTCTAAGTTTCCCTCATCCCAGACCTCGGCCACACTCCCACTCCCATCACCATCCATCCCACCCCACCAGCGCTGCCCTTTCTCTCCATGCTCTCTCTGACCCCCCCCCCACCACCCCCACCCCAACCCCCCTCCCTACCTTCCAGTCGTGTGTGGTGAAGGACCACAGTTTGGAGTTACTGTAGCGCAGGTCGGCACCACTCAGGAAGCTGGGCTTGTGCAGGTGAGCAAGGTGAGCAAAGTCGGACGCGTTCTCTGGAATCTCCTAACACAGGAAGGAAAGGGATCAGCTTCTCCCCGGCACAATGTCCATCTCTCTCCCCGCGCCCCCCCCCCCACCTGCCCAGGCACACACAGGAGCCACTCGCAACGCACGCACATAGACAAAGACTGACCGACAGGCTTCCCTTCCCGATGCTCTTGCAGCTACAGGACCAGCCCTTGGGTTCTGTGGGGATTGAAGAGGAGGGGAGAGGAGGGGGTTACCTGGATGTGAGAGTTGACGTAATGCTCTGTCCGCCCGCGATACACCCACTGGCCGCTCTGGATCTCCTCCTGCCCGTCGATGCTCCAGGTGGGATTGATGCCGTCGCAGTGATACCACACGAACACCATCCCGTTCAGCTCACACGTCGGCCATGTCTTAATACGAGCGAAATCCGGCACTGGTGAGAGGGGATCAACGGCCTCAGCTACAGCCGCAGAGCCCCGCCACTCCCGCTTCTCCCCACCCCAGCTGCCCATTAGCTCCCCCCCTCAACTGTAGCCTCCCTTTGCCCTCCCGTGCTCTGCTCCAGCTGCTCTGACCTCACCCCCACCCCCCAATCCAGTGCCCCCCACAGGCTCCCATCTCCCCATAACCCGGCCCCTCTCCCTGAGGCTGCTGTTGCTGCACAGCTGGCTCTCGCCCCCCCCCACTTTACTCACCTTTCTCCGCGTACGGAATCTTGGTGCATTTTCCATCCTCGCCCCGGAACTGCCAACCGTGAAAAGGACATTCGATACAGTCTCCGGCCACTCGCCCGCCCACCGCCAGGTTAGCGCCCAGGTGCGGGCAATAGGCGTCCACCACGTGGGCGCGACCATCCTGTGCCCGGTACACACACACCTGCTCACCTGGGAGAGGACAGCAGCCTGTCAGTGTCCACACACACACGCACACACCACACGCACACACCCTGCAGCATATACACACACGCATGCACCACACACACACACACACATACACCCTGCACAATACGCACACGACACCAAAACTCCCCCCCCCCCCCACCCCCCCCAATCCACAAACACTGCACACAACGCACATACACATTACATGCACTACACAGTGCACAATACACAACACGCACTAGAAATACGCTGACGCAAAATAATCAGCGCTCAGACACGCGAGCCCAGGTGAAGGGCGCTAAATAAATGCAAGCTGTTGTATTTGAGAATGTGCCGAGAAGCGGCTTATCACAGCGTGAAGACAACTTAAAGCGCTTCACAGGATTTACTATGAAGTGCAGTGACTGGGTATTTGTAAGCGAACTCAGCAGCCAATTTACAAACCGCAATGTCCCACAAACAGCCATGAGGTGAATGACCAATGTTATCTGGGCGGATTGTGGCAAATGGACCTCAGGTTAACGGCAACCTCCAGCTCAATTTCCCTGACATAGGCCTTGAACCCACAACCTTCTGCATCCAACTCAACTCTGCTTAGGGTTGGGTTTGGAGCCTACACTTCAGAAACTGTAGATTACAGAAACGATTCTCACAGAATAAGGAGGGAGGGAGTGAAGTTCAGTGACCGCGGAATCACTTGTTCGAGTGATTCAGCAATGTGCCGGGACTGCAAGAACAGGTCAAACAGGATCCAAAGGAGAAAGGCAGGCTTGATCGCTTCGATGTGACACTTCGCCAGAACCTGCAACTCTTAATTCTGCGTTCTCTTTGCTATCGGGTTTGCTGCAGAAACTCAGGCAAACCCAGCGGAATACATTCAGAGAAACCTAAAAGCGCTCAACAAAGTGATAAGGCGCTATAGCAATTGCAAGGATGATGATTATTATTATTATTATAAGCTGAGGCAGCAGAACAAGAGGGCACAGGTTCAGGGTTGCAAAAGGCAATTTTTGGACAAACACCAGGAAGTATTTGTTTACCCAGAGGGCATTTAAAGATTGGGGCCCTCGAAGCTGGGACTCATTCATGACCCGGTTTGGATTAATATGCGCCGAAAGTCCTTCTGCATCCAAATCCAAACCTCTCGTGCAGAACACCACCAGGGCTGCAGGGAACAATAAACCTTGCATTTGATACAGCTCCTAATCACTTTGTCAAGACATCTCACGGGATTTTACTGCGAAGTGTAATGACTGTGCATTTCTAGATGAACGTGACAGACAATTTGCACCCAGCCTTGAAGCAAGTGACCCATTTTAACTGGGTGTGGGTGGATTGTCAACCAGGACAAAGGTGGGGTGGGGGTTAGTGGGGGATTGGGGAGAAGGAAATATTAGTCCACAAGATATTAACGATATTCCATTAGTCCACAAGATATTAATGTCCACCTGAACTCGCCTTGACATTGAACATAATTTTCTACACAGCAAGCTGGAGAGCGCGAGAGAGATAGAGAGCGGGTTGTTGGCAAGAGGAACCCTGTTGCTCTCCACAGTGACCTCCTGAATGTGGACAGTCACAACAGCCGACCTGAAAACCCAAGGTTGAGAGGACGTGTCCTGGTGATCGTCCTTGCAGAAGTCATTCACCTCACTCACGCAAGTGCCACTGCTCGCTTGCTCGCTCGCTCGCTGTGGGAAGACTGATTGCAACGTTTGCCCTTCGNAAAAAAAGGCCACTGGACTTGGCAGGGATTGCCGTGAAGGGCTTTTGAGACGTCAGCACGACAAGGCTCAAGAGAGAAGCAAAGCGGCGGGGCTATGGGGTAAGAGCGGGGGAGTGGGACTAGTTGAATAGCTCTTTCAAAGAAGCAGCACAGACACGATGGGCCGAATGGCCTCCTTCTGTGCTGTAAGATTTTATACATTGTATGTGACTGAAGCTATAGGGCAAAAGCAAAGCAATTCACCGAACCTCCTCCTGAGGGAGCTCCGGCACTACACCAGAAGCTCCCAGTAGGACTGGGACATTTTCCCCCTATTGACTGTAACCCTTTACGCCCGGAAAAATAATTGTCGCACTTGATGTAGCTCCTACACCATCGAAACGTCTCCAAGTGATCACTACAGTGACTGTGCAATTTGTAGGCAAGCACAGCAGCCAATCTGAGCACATTACCGTCTCACAAACAGCCACGAGGTGAATGACCCATTTATTTGATGCGGAGATGAGAGGGCTTACCAACTGGGTCGATTTCACGACCCTCTCACTTGTTTCCAAACCTGCGCCAGCATTTTGAAGGGTGGTGGTCACTGTTCACCCACAAAAATGCAGCCATTACGCTGCAAAGTCAAAGCATAGGGACCTTGAGATCTTTTCATGATACAATAAGGTGCTGCACAACGTGCATTTACACCAAATACAAATTTGCATTCAGATGTAAATGCCAGAAAGCCGATAAGGAAACTCTAGGGCATAGGCTGACAGCTGCTGGAAGGAGTTACGTGAAGTCCATGACCTCATGTTAGTATTTCCAGCGCCTGGAATCTACCTTGATTGGTTTGCAGAGGGGCAGGCAGTTGCTGCTTAAACTGCCCAAGTCCCTCTTGTTCAAAGGCTTATAATGTATGCAAGTTTGTCATAAAGTCGTATTAAATTTATGGTCCCCACTGATACCACTTATATGAGGTTTACTGTACTATTATAATCATTCACACTGCACAAACAGCCACGAAGTGAATGACACATTTTATTGGGGGGACTGGGCTGTTGGCCAGGACACCTGCAAGTTCAGTTCGCCTTGAGATAATAATAATAATCCTCGCATTTGACATAGCGCTTTTCACGTCGGGAGGACGTCCCGAAGCGCTTCACAGAATATACTGTAAAGTGAATTGACTGTATATTTGTGGGCGAACGCGGCAGCCAATTGCGCACAGCAATGTCCCACAGACAGTCGTGGATTGAAAATGACCAATTTTTTTTATTATTGTTTGTGGTTTTGGAGGGATTATTATTAGGCTCTGTGTGGAGTAAGGAAACTTGCCCAAGGTTTCGCCCTCTGCCTGGAATTGAACTCAGGTCTCTCACTTGCAAAGCGAGTGCTCTAACCACTGAGCTACAGGACTCCACAGGAGATCTTTAATGTCCATCTGAACAGGTGGTCAGGACCACAGTTTAACGTGGAGATACAACTTAAGGGAGTTTCTCCTGGTGTCCTGACCAAAGCCCCACTAACAGCCATGCGCCGAGTCACTCACTTCACGCGTGGCCGTTGTGGGATGTTCCTGTGTGCAAATTGGCTGATGTATTCACATACAACTACACAATCATTGCAGTTTAGAGCAACTCCCCGTAAAGCACTTGGAAACTGAGCTGTTTGCCCGCTACGGGTGGGTCGCTGTATACAGGAGAATCAGCGGCGAGCACTGAACACACATCGGCCATCATGTACTGAACAGAAACACAGCGTCAACTGAAACAACCACGGAGATGCTTTGGCAACTGGTCCAACAAGTCCTGAACCTGCTCTTTGTAGCCCTGCCAACTCGCTGGGTATCTAAGGCAGTGTTTATCACTGTGGGAAATGTTTTACTTGGACGCTCAAAGGAATAAATCCATTATTATGTTTTATAATTGATACTTCTCGTTGCTTAGTGTTGAAGGTCAGAGAGGCCATTGCTGGAAATCAAACACTGCCTTTACAGTTGCACTGAATTGTTCTACTGTGAACAACTATTGTTAAGCATTCCCAGGTCAGCTACAACACAGGGCAGGACAGGTCCCACCCCAGGGACCCAGCCTCGTAGACCACATCACCTGTCATCCATTGCAATCCTCACTGATTCTGCACAAACCAAGTTAAAAATATAATAATAATCCTTGCATTTGATATAGCGCCTTAACACGTCGTTGAGACATCTCAAAGGGCTTTACAGAATACTCTGTTAACTGAATTGACTGCACATTTTGTGGGTGAAAGGCGGCAGCCAATTCAGCACAGCAGCGTCCCACAAACAGCCATGGATTGAGTGACCAACATTATTGGGGGACTGTTGGCCTGCATACTGGGATAGTGCGCTCTTTTTGAACAGAGCCATGGGATCTTTTGACAAACAACTGGACTGGCAGACATGTCCTCTGGTCGGTATCTCATCTGAAGGCGGCACCTCCGACAATGCACACCCCCCCAGCACTGCATTGGAGCGTCACCTTAGCCGATGTGATTCCAAGCCCCAATAATGGGACTTGAACCCACAACCTTCTGAGTACGAAGGGGAAGCGCTACCGACTGAGCCAGGCTGACACACTGAAGGTGCAGCTCGTGACTGTATTTGCAGGCGAACGTGGCAGCCCATTTTACTCATCAACAGTCATGATTTATGTATCTTTAATTTAGGGGACACCAGGAGAAACTCCCTCCTCTTTTCGAACAGTGGGGTGGGGTCTTTGTGACATCCACCTGAACAGACAGACCAGACGGGGACCTCGATTTAACACGCCCCCCCCCCCCCCGCCCCCCACCACGGGAAATGTCCTCATTTGAATCAGACCTGCGACTGAATGGGAGGACTCCACCTTGGTTACAGCGTCCTGCAAACCAGCTCACATTCCTGGAAACTGTGTTGCATGTGTTACAGCGAGAAACAATGATTCTCAATCCCTCCCTGGCCCTCCAGAGATACGCGGCATCCAAAGAGCACACTCGTTTACCCCACCACTCCCTACTCCCGCCCCACCCCGCATTCTTACTCCCAACACCCCAACCCACCCAGAAATCTCCTTCCCCCACCACAGACCACATTGGTTCACGAGATCAAATGCAAGGCTTAGAAATTACTATTGTTGCTTTGTCAAAGATTCCAGCTCAGAGTGAAAGCATACACAACCCCCACCTCCCCCCCACCCCACACACACAGACATAGTCTCTCTCCTCTACCTATCCTGAACTTTACACTGTATATTTGCCTTGGCGATTTCAGTCGTCACATGATGGGGCATTTTTAATGTTTAATCACCGGGCCCAGCCAAGCCCATGGACAAACCTTGCACAACCGAATAAACGGTCGTGGAACTCGCTCGGGAGCCTCTCTTGTTACACGGGAGGCTGAGACTGCCCTACATTCAATCCTTTCAATAGGATCTGCTGCAGGTACCAAAACTGGAGCGGAGAATTGCTTTTGAATCAAGGTTTTTTAAAAAAATATAGTGGTGGCCAGTTTATTGTGAGTAGAGCTAATCTATACCTTAAGTGTTGGGTCACAGGGCACCGCACTAGGGTACAGATCTAGTCATCTGAAGTGAGGAGATGTTTTATCGACGGGACAGCATGAAGGGACAATCCAGAGTTTGGAGAGAGGCATAGATCTAAAAAAAAATGGGCTGCTCGCCTTGAATAACAATAGTCATCATCATTCGAAGAGAGAAGGTGTCCTAGCAAACAAATCCTCACCCCCCACCGCGCCAAATAAATTGGTCACTCACTCCATGGCTGTTTGTGGGACGTCGTGGGAGAGAGAGAGAGTGCGATTAGGACTTCTCTCATCACACAGGCAGAGAATGCACTCCCGCAGTTTCATCCGTTTGATAATTGAAAGCAAAAGTGTTAGGGAGAATATTTGCTCCGCTGTACCTCATGCATATAAATAATCTCATCAGGTAACCCTGAAAACACTATCCTCGTGAAGCTCCATTTCCTATTCTTTTACTACCAGTACAGGCAAAGCGCATTCGGCCCTGCGTTCATTCTATTCACAACGTTTAACCAAATACCATTCATTAACTGTTCTGGTCTGGAAAGGTCAGGGACCTGCAACATTAACTCCTTTTCCTCTCTCCATAGAGACTGCCCAACCTGCTGCGTGTTCCCAGCCACTTCTGCTTTTATATCATTAACTGATCCTTCGGGAGCTCTTAAAATCCTCGCAGATTAAACGACCCTGTACCTCATCTCCCCCACTGCCACCCGTGCCTCCAACTCTCCGCATCTTCATTTCGATGGGGTTTCGGGAAACCGTATTCATGTGCCACCCACTGCTCGTCTGCACCAGCCAAGGCCAAGCCCACACTGTGACCTACCCCGGTTAGCTCTGTGCCCACTCCCTCAGGACTGTCCATCATGAATCCTCACTGAAAGCTCCCACGTTGGCCTAACCCTGACACATGGGATACAGTGAGCCAGCCCGCCCCACAACCTACTCCGTGACGCAATATCAAGAGCAATATAAACTCGCCTTGGGACTCAGGCGGCTCCTTATAAACACCCTCCTGTAAACACTGCCCTCAGATTCATGTGCTGCCATCAGCTTCCAGCTGGTAACTCATGAGGTTCAGAGGCAGAGGGACAGAGTCGGGTGTCACCTACATACACGCAGAAACAGACCCCAAGCATGCGCGTGCATGCACCCCATCCACCCCCACCCCCACGGCAAACAAACACGACGCTGCCAACTTTTACACAGACCACATGAGCTGCAGCTACGAAAGGTAATTATAAAGCGCATCAGCTGTGCAATTAATCACCACGTTAGGGCATATGAAAATACACACAGTGTTTGGGGCCTTTGTAGTTTTGAGACGTTGCGAAGACGTGATAAGGCGCTAAATCAAATGCGAGGATAATTATTATTATTATTATTACTACAGTGAAGTCAACGTTAAAGGATGCATCTTCGGACAGAGGTCATGAAGCTTTCCCACTGTAGTATTTTCTTTGCTCAAGTGGGTGGTCTCTGACATACAGTAACCTATCACTCTCTCTCCCTCTCTCTCTCTCTCTCTCTCCCTGCAACGCAGAGTGTCCAACATGGCTCGGTCTCAGGCGGCTTCGGGATTACATTACGTTTTCAACCCCTTTAAGCTCAATATCCTTGACTCATAGAGTCCTGTAGCTCAGGGGTTAGAGCACTCGCTTTGCAAGTGAGAGACCTGAGTTCAATTCCAGGCAGAGGGCGAAACCTTGGGCAAGTTTCCTTACTCCACACAGAGCCTAATAACAATCCCTCCAAAACCAAAAACAATAATAAATTGGTCATTTTCAAGCCACGACTGTTTGTGGGACATTGCTGTGCGCAATTGGCTGCCGCGTTCGCCCACAAATATACAGTCAATTCACTTTACAGTGTGTTCTGTGAAGCGCTTCGGGATGTCGGGAAGACGTGAAAAGCGCTATATCAAATGCGAGGATTATTATTATTATTATTATTATTTATAAGCACTGGATACGTCTGTCTGTAAACGTCGAAATGTGCCAATGTTCCCTCAACCTTACACCGCGTCAACTTAAGACTGTGAGCTCGACATCCCGGTGTGTGGTCTGGAGCCCACAAATCTTCCGACCCGGAGGCAGGAGGAGCGCGAGCTCCCGCCGGGAGCCGGGCTGACCGACACCTAAGCCCCGACCCAGCGCCTTCGAGCCTCCCGTTTTGTCGTGCGGCTGATTGTAAACCAGCAGCGACCGTTGGATGGGACCCTCGGTGAGTTTCCCAAAGGCCTGAGTCACCGCAGGCGACACGGTGACGGATCAGTATCCGACCGGTTCGACCGCATTCCTGGGCCTTTCTCTCCTCTGATGGGCAAACCCGAAAATTCCAGTCACGGCAGCAACCGTCTCGTGGCAAAAAGATGTACGAACTATCTTGTTATCCGCGTCCCCACCTCATCTCAGGAATTTGCGTCCCCGGTACAGGCGGTGGATGTAACCGCTCGTCTGATGGGGCCGTACGCGCTCTCTGGGGGGTGGTGGTGGGTGGTGGTGGGTGGGGGGTGGGTATGTGTGGGGGGGGAACTTGGATTTGATCCGGTCTAAAGCCCACGTACCAACCCAACAGCAAATCGTACCCGTCCCGTCGGGAGGACACGACATTGGCGTTGAGGGTTCGGTTTGGACCCGACGCCTCCACCCCACCCCACCCCACCCACTCCCACCCCACCCACTCCCTCCGATGTCTGGTCTGATGGACGTTAAGGATCCTATGGTGCTATTTGAAAAGACGTCGCCCCCCCCCCCGCTCACACATCCCCTCCCCACCCCGCTCACACCCCCCCTCCCCCCCCCCCCCCCCCCGCTCACACACACCCTTCCCCCCCGACACACAGCCCCCCTGACACATAGCCCCCCGACACACAGCCCCCCTGACACACACAGCCCCCCCTGACCCACACAGCCCCCCTGACACACACAGCCCCCCCTGACACACACAGCCCCCCTGACCCACACAGCCCCCCCTGACACACACAGCCCCCCCTGACACACAGCCCCCCCTGACACACACAGCCCCCCCTGACCCACACAGCCCCCCCTGACACACACAGCCCCCCCCCTTACACACAGCCCCCCCCTTACACACCCCCCCCTTACACACAGCCCCCCCTGACACACACAGCCCCCCCTCACCCCCCCCCCCCGACCCCCCTGACCCCCACTTACCGAGCAGACTGACCCCCCTGACCTGTGTGGGGCGGAGTAGGTGCGAGTCCAGGACGCGGTACCAGCCGTTGGGGTACACGGGCGGCAACTCCCCGACCTGTCGCCGCCGCCGCACCTCGTTCGCCGCCCGACGGGGGCTGGAGCCCGGGTCCGGGGCATAGCCCACAGCGTGTGGGGACCTCAGCAGCTCCAGCGGCGCCGCGCACAGCCCGTACAGAGCCCAGAGGGCGGCCCCCACCCCCAGCGCCAGCGCCCCCCACCCCAGGCCCCCCCACCCCCAGCCCCCCCCAGGGCCCCCCCCACCCCACCCCCACCCCCACAGACCCCCCCACCCCCCCAGGGCCCCCCCCACCCCGACCCCCACAGCCCCCCCCACAGACCCAGCGGCCACTCCCAGCACATCGCCCCGACCCCCCGACACTCACTCTCTCTCTACACAGCTCCTCTTCCTCTCACACTCCTCTCACACTCCCTCTCTCTCTCCCCTCACACTCCCTCTCTCTCTCCCCTCACACTCCCTCTCTCCCCTCACACCCCCTCTCTCCCCTCACACTCCCTCTCTCCCCTCACACCCCCTCTCTCTCTCCCCTCACACTCCCTCTCTCCTTTCACACTCTGTCTCTCTGCGGAGGAGCGGCTGTTTTTGCTGCTCCTGAATCCTGGCGCCGCCCCCGACACCAGCGACAGAGTGAGAGGCAACACCCCGGGGGCAGAGTGAGGGGCAACACCCCGGGGGCACACTGAGGGGCAACACCCCGGGGGCAGAGTGAGGGGCAACACCCCGGGGGCAGAGTGAGGGGCAACACCCCGGGGGCACACTGAGGGGCAACACCCCGGGGGCAGAGTGAGGGGCAACACCCCGGGGGCACACTGAGGGGCAACACCCCGGGGGCAGAGTGAGGGGCAACACCCCGGGGGCAGAGTGAGGGGCAACACCCCGGGGGCAGAGTGAGGGGCAACACCCCGGGGGCAGAGTGAGGGGCAACACCCCGGGGGCAGTGAGGGGCAACACCCCGGGGGCACACTGAGGGGCAACACCCCGGGGGCACACTGAGGGGTAACACCCCGGGGGCACACTGAGGGGCAATAGCCTGGGGGCAGAGTGAGGGGCAACACCCCGGGGGCAGAGTGAGGGGCAACACCCCGGGGCAGAGTGAGGGGCAACACCCCGGGGGCACACTGAGGGGTAACACCCCGGGGGCAGAGTGAGGGGCAACACCCCGGGGGCACACTGAGGGGTAACACCCCGGGGGCAGAGTGAGGGGCAACACCCCGGGGGCAGAGTGAGGGGCAACACCGGGGCAGAGTGAGGGGCAACACCCGGGGGCAGAGTGAGGGGCAACACCCCGGGGGCAGTGAGGGGCAACACCCCGGGGGCACTGAGGGGCAACACCCGGGGGCACACTGAGGGGTAACACCCCGGGGGCACACTGAGGGGCAATAGCCTGGGGGCAGAGTGAGGGGCAACACCCCGGGGGCAGAGTGAGGGGCAACACCCCGGGGGCAGAGTGAGGGGCAACACCCCGGGGGCACACTGAGAGGCAACACCCCGGGGGCACACTGAGGGGCAACACCCCGGGGGCACACTGAGAGGCAACACCCCGGGGGCACACTGAGGGGCAATAGCCTGGGGGCAGAGTGAGGGGTAATAGCCTGGACTGGACCAGGCATGAGGGGCAATACCCTGGACTTACTCGGGCAGGAATGAGGGGCAATACCCTGCACTGGGGCAGAGCGAGAAGGAAAGACTGATCAACAGCACTTGCAATCGTACCATTGTTTGAGCGGTGTCTTCGGGAGAGAACTGCGACGGCACCGATGTGGTAAATTCGGGTGAATTGAACAAGAAGCTGAAGGCGGTACCGCAGCCAATCTGTTCACCTTTATATCATCAGAACCTCAGGGCTTTGAGCTCACAGTCCGGGCAGGAACACAGCAGCTCGCCTACAAACACACAGTCACTCCACGGTAACTCCCGCAAAGCGCTTGTGAACAAGATTAACAGCAGCGGCAAAAAATGCGGTCGTTCAATCCACGAGTGTTTGCGGGGACGCTGCTGTGAGCGCAATTGGCTGCCGCGTTTCGCCCACAAAATATGCAGTCGATTCACTTTCCAGTACGTGAAGAGCTTTGAACACGTCTCAACGACGTGATGAGGCACGACATCAAATGCCACGATTATTATTCTTATTAATACCTCGACCACTACGTCCTCTTTTAAATATCCCGATTGATTCCGTTACCTGCAACTTTATGGACTGCTGCCTTCAGCGTCGGGGGTGGGGGGGTGGGGGGGTGGGGGGCGTTATTCAGCCAGGTCAGTGTGGTCACTGGGAACGTTCATTGCGGGATATGATTTAGTTCGTACACGCTGAATGGAAAGGGTTAATGGCAAGGAGCTCAAGAGCTTAAACGTGCTCCGTTCGCCGACAAATACGCAGTCGCTCCATTTGGCAGTAAAACCCGGTGAAAGCGCTTTGGGACGTCCTTCTGATGTGGAAAGCTCCGTAACCAAATGCAGGATTATTATCGATAACATCCCAGTATCTTGGAGTGTGCCGTTATTGTAAAGCCACAGCTATATCTTGTTGGCCAGCAGGGTGTCTGACACATGGGAAAAACCATCACCATGCACAAGGACTCGAACCAGACCGAGAGCCCCAAATAATAATAATAATAATAATAATAATAATAATAATGGTTGCACTTGATACAGCGCCTTTTCACGTCTTTGAGACGTCTCAAAGCGCTTCACAGAATATACTGTAAGGTGAATTGACTGTGTATTTGTAATACACGTGTACGCCACTCACCACAGAGGAATTTCTGTAGGTCTGGAATGGAATGTGCATTCTTCCCCTGGAGGGATGCGCCCTGTTTACCTCATTGCAGAGAGTAGTAGACTGGGACAGGCGAGAGACAACGCTTAGGACGCTGCATGTGTTCACACCCCTGAGTTCCGCCTGACATTGCGTGGTGCGTAAGAACATTGCACGATGCGAGGGAAACTTTCCAGACCCGCTTCCAGTGGCACGGTACGTGGCGTTAGAGCTACAGAAATTTACAGCGCAGAAGAAGACCATTCGGTGTCTGTGACGGATCCTTTAAGAGCAATCCTTTCAGTCTCGTTTACCAGTGCTTTCACCATAACTGTATATTTTGCCCAATTTATGTGCCCCCCCCCCCCCCCCCACCGGCACCTTTCATGACGGGAGGACGTCCCAAGATGCTGAACAGGCCAGGGTTTGCACCCGAGTTGGAGGGTGGGGGGGTGAATAAAGATGGTTGAGAGCGTGGTCGAAGAGGAGGTCTTGAGACAGACCTTGACGGAGGAGAAAGAAGGGTTGAAGGGAGTTGCAGAAAGTGAGGGCTGAAAGCCTGACCAGCGATGGTAAATAAAATATTATTCGGGAGAGAGTCTACAGTTTACTTCATTTTAACGTAACGTTTCGGCGCGTCCAGAATTTGTCAAACCTGCCGAATGCCGTCTTAGCGCCGAAATGCGTTTTCCTGCGGTTTCTTGAAACAAGCTGCCGGGAAACGAGCTGTCGGGCATTAAGCTGCGCTTAACGACGTGCCAAATTCTGACGCACTGTGATAAACAGCGTAAATCTAGACCCGGGTGGGATTCCTCTCCATATACTGTATCTCTGATGCATCGGGGCTGACCGAAATGAGGACAACATGAATTGTGCAAGGAAATTGCAGTGTTTAAGATGGTGATGGGTGTATGGAGGGGAGGGGGGGAGGGGGGGGGGGGGTTAGTGTGTATGTGTATATTCTACATTACAGAATGAACACCACACGACATGACTGCAGCATTGAGGATGACTGACGTGCGAGAGAGAGCCATCATCCATCCATCCCAGTGATGCTGAACCAGTCAGAAAGAAACGAAATCGGTGGATTTCAGAGGAAGGGACCAATAACGCGAGGGATGGAGTGAGAAATTGCACGTTTCAGGACCAATAATAACTAAGCCCTTTTTTTTTTTTGCACCAATCGCATAGGGAGGGAGAGAAAGAGAGAGAGAGAGAGAGAGAGAAAGAAAGAGAGAAGAGGAGAGAGAGAGAGAGAGCAGCATTGCAGAATCCCAGGGATGCAGAAAGCATCCTCCATCCATCCATTCATTCATTCCGGCAGCTCGGGAATTAGGATCAGCAATTGGGGAAGGGACGAGAAGGAGAAGGAGGAGGAGGAGGAGGAGGAGGATGAGGAGAGGGGGGGGATAAATCAGGTAAAAGTCATCTGCGATTTTAACAGCGATTGCTGCTTAATTCCGTCTACATCTGGACCATATTTGCAGAGCCAACAGATAGCACATCGACTGCAGCGACTGTCAGAGAGTGGGGGTGGGTGGTGGGGTGGGTGGGTGGGGGGTAATCACTGCATTGCATTGGATGCATCACGACTGAAGCTCACCTTGGGGAGGGGGGGGGAGGGGGGGTGTGGGGGGGGTGCAACGAGGCATCTCTGAGCTTATTTTCTTTTGTTTTCTCTTGCTCTTTCTGTCGAGGTGGGGGTGGGTGGTGGGGGAGGGGGGTTTCTTGAGCGCGTAAGAAAGGCAGCTGCGTTCGGGCAACGAGCGATCATGGGGGGCTACCCTTGGCTGTGGGTCCTCCTCCTGTCCGGCTGGTCCCGGCTCCCAGCCCCGGCGGGCGCTTCGCCCAAAATCGTCAACATCGGGGCGGTTTTGAGCACCAAGAAGACCGAGGGCATCTTCAAGGAAGCCGTGGCTCAAGCCAACCGCAAGTACGGCACCTGGAAGATCCAGCTGAACGCCACTGCTGTCACCCACAAGCCCAACGCCATCCAGATGGCTCTGTCTGTCTGTGAAGATCTCATCAGTAGCCAGGTACCCCCTAACCCGCCCTAAAATAATAATGCCTAAATCATAATACCACTGCTAACCAGTCATGTCGAGTAATGACCGAACCCCAGGCACAGCTAATTCATCATAATAATAATAATAATATTAATAATATTCCTTGCATTTGATTTAGCACCTTATCACATCGTCGACACGTCTCGAAGAGCTTCACGGAATACATAGACTGTAAAGTGAATTGACTGTATGTATTTTTTTGGGGGGCGAGGGGGGGGGGCGAAACGCGGCAGCCAATTGCGCACAAATTGTTATTATTACTTATTTAATATTAATGCTGAATAATAGCAGCCAGACCCAGTAATACTGAGTAATAATAAACAACAGTGTCGTGTAATAGCCGTACCCAGGAACAGTATCGATAGCGCACACTATTGCATAACAGATGAATAATTATAGCAGCTAGATACAATAATACTAAGAAATAACATCACCCAAAAACATTAAAATTGGGTAAAACCAGCTTATCAACGGTAATACTGAGCATTAATAGCACACAGCCACAATAATACTGAACATTAACAGCACACAGCCACAATAATACTGAACATTAATAGCAAATAAAATTGAACAAGAACAGCACGCAGACATATTAAAACAGAACAAAAACAGCACAAAGGCAGTACGATTGAGTGATAATCATAATAATAATAATCCTTGCATTTGATATAGTGCCTTATCACGTCTTCGAGACGTCTCAAAGCGCTTAAATAGCACACGGGCACTGGAAAACCGAGCCATCACAGCACTAGATATTGCGTGAGATATTTTGTAAAATTTTAATGTGAGCTCTTGACACGTCCTTTTTTGATTAAGTAGAGGAGTCATTTCCCAATATTTTTTCTCTCCTCTTCTACCTCTGTTGCCGCGTCTGTTATTTCCTCTTCAAACAGCGCATAGTGAAGGGAGTTTCTTCCGGTGTCTTGGCCAACAATCCCCCAACTAAAATTGGGCGTTTGCTTCATGGCTGTTTGTGGGACAATTGCTGCTTGTGCGCAAAATGGGCCTCCGTGTCCATCCTGAAATACACAGTCACTCCACTTTCACAGGGTAATGTTTTGAGACGGACGTCCTCCTGACGTGAAAGGTGCTTTACCAAATGCAAGGAGTAAAACTGTGTGCTGGGAGCGCATTCCCTGGGGCGCAGTTTCTCTGTGTGGTGGGTGGACTGAGCAGATGCCTAGGTTTATGTTGGCTGTGTATTCGATTTGCTCTGTGTATTTAATAACCCTTGCATTTGAGGTTGCGCCTTACCACATTGTCTCACTGACTCAAAGCACGCCATAGGATTTTCTGTTGGAGTGTAGTGACCGTGTTTAGCAGGCCTGCTGTTATTTATTGCTCTGGTTTTAGTCGGCACCGCCTTCGTCACGCTCAGACTCGAATGTTCGAACGCTTTGCTTTCAGCTCCATCCTTTTGAGCATCCAGAACCCTGCAGCTCACTTCCTCTTCCGCACCAGGCTGTGTGGAGTCTATCACCCCCATCCTCGCTCGGCTCCACTGGCTCCCCCATCCCCTGGTGGATCGAATTCAAGATCCTCCCGTTTAAATCCCTCAGCGGCCTCGTCCCGTCCTACCTCTGCGCCTGCAACCCATAACCCTAACACCCTGGCCGCTCCTTACACCAAGGGACCCAGACTGCTTCACGTCTCTCGCTCAACCCACCCACCATCAGTGAATGACCTTTCAGCCAGTCTGACCCTGCTTCTCTGGAACCCCATTCCAGAGTCCCTCCACTTTAAATAATAATAATCCTTGCATTTGATATAGTGCTTTTCATGTCTTCTCGACATCTCGAGAAGGAAAGTGCTTCACAGAATAGACTGTAAAGTGAATTGACTGTATATTTGTGGGCAAACGCGGCAGCCAATTGCGCACAGCAGTGTCCCACAAACAGTCATGGATTGAGAATGACCAATTTATTATTGTTTTTGGTTTTGGAGGGATTATTATTAGGCTCTGTGTGGAGTAAGGAAACTTGCCCAAGGTTTCGCCCTCTGCCTGGGATTGAACTCAGGTCTCTCACTTGCAAAGCGAGTGCTCTAACCACTGAGTTACAGGACTCCACATTGCCTCTCACCCTGTCCCTTCACAGCTTTGAAGCTCATCGTAAGGTCTATGTTTTCGACCATGTATTTGGTGACCCTCCCCATCCGCACTCCCCCACCCCCTAACTCTCCAAGCTTCTCTCTGTGAACACTGATGCAAAGATATCCTCTGGTTCCTTGGATCACGTGATTTATGTTACACTTGTGTGGAATCGATTGGTTTCTGGTTGCCTTTGTCCAGTGCTGTAAGGATTATGAGAATGTCCGAGCCTGGCATCACGGCAGATCTGGTTGCTGGGCAAGATGGCGTGCGGAGGGGTTGCCCTTATTGTCGTGGGCAGGTACAGCCCCAGGAGAGATGGTTGAGGAGGCAGTAACATTGCCTGTTGCGAGGCAATCGGGCAGCTGTCAAAGCCCTGTCTTCTCCTCTCCTCTCCCAGTCTAGCTTTCAGCTCCCTCCTTTGTTAGACAACTCCCAGATGGCTTTGTAAATGGACCTAACAGGTCTCTCGAATGATGTAACTGCTTGAAATGAAAAGGGCTCTTTAAATAAATCCCATTGAGGAGTGTTTAACTGCATTGTGCTAAAAAACATCTTAAACAGGAGCCATACTACCTGGGTCTAACTGGGTTAGGGCTCACTGATGCAGTGCGGATGGATGGCTTTGTTTAGCCTCTGCAGTACGACGTGTATTGTATTCACATAGCTGTGCAGAAACCATTCACAATCTGAATATAGAGCAGCAGAGAGAGACAGGCTGAGAACTGCACCTTGTTAATATTACAGTGCTGCAGAACCATGAATTTGTGCGACATTGCGATGCTCAGACTGGCTGCTGCGTTTCGCCCACAAAATATGAGATTGTGCAATCATAACCACTTTACAGTATATCCTGTGACGTGCTTTGAGATGTCTCCACCAAGTGATAAGGCGCTATTTCAAATGCAAGGATTATTATTATAAATAATAATAATCCTTACATTTGTCGTAGCGCTTTTCATGACGGCAGGACATCCCAAAGCACTTCACGGGATAATATAATAAATAATGCATTTGATATAGCGCTTTTCACATCTTCGAGACGTCTCAAAGCGCTTCACAGAATGTGCTGCAAAATGAATTGGCTGTACATTTGCGGGCGAAACGCAGCAGCCAATTGCCACAGCAGTGTACCACACTTTTTTTTTCTTGAGGGATTATTATCAGGAGTGTGGAGTGAGGAAACGTGCCCAAGCTTTTGCCCTGCCGGGTATCGAACCCAGGTTTCTCGCTTGCGAGGCGAGCGAATGCTCTATCCACTGAGCTGCAGAATATACTGTAAATAGAAACTAATTAAATTTCAGAGCATTAAAGGTTAAAACACGCATATCTTTACAGCAGGCAACTAACTAACAATAGGATCTAAAACAAGATGTTTGAAACCGGTGTGGCTATTTTAAGTACTTCTTACAAACATCTTGTTAAGAATCCAGTATTGAGCTGCCTGTTTTAATAATTGCATTTAATGTAGCATCTGGAATGTCAAAAAGCACTTCACAGGGAACTTCTGTCAAGTTTGTATTTGCAGACAAATGCCGCAGCCAATTTGCACGCAGCAAAGTCCCCACAAATTGCCATGAAGTAAATGATCAGTTTTATCTAAGGGATCATTGGCCAGGCCACCAGAAGGAACCCTTTTTGAATTAGCTCAATAACAACAACTTGCACTCTTCGGGTAGGGTCTTGGGAGTGCTTGATACGGTATAAATCTGCAGGCCATTCTGACTTCTGAACCTTCAGGGTTAAGATCTGCCTGATATTGTGGAGTCCGTGCCTTTGGGGTATCATTAAAGGATTACATTGTAGGAGGTGTGAGTCTCATGGGTTAATAACTATGATTTTTTCCGGTCGTGCTCCTGTCATTTTCGTGTCTGTTTGACGTGCTATCTTGTCTTTCCCAGGTCTATGCAATATTAGTGAGTCATCCGCCTGGGCAGAATGACCAATTGACTCCGACGCCTGTGTCTTACACCGCTGGCTTCTACCGGATCCCTGTAATTGGTCTGACAACAAGGATGTCCATCTATTCTGACAAGGTAAGGAAGGACATTGTCAGCGAGCGTCTTACACGTGTGCAATGTAAGTTTTTATTCCAAGTCACACATGCGGAAACCCACTACCACGCTTAAGGGTATCGAAAGCAGACTGTGAGTTCCACATAAATATGCCACCTACACATGGAAATTTCTCTGTACTAATAAGCATGTAAGATTCCAGCACTGTTAATAATAATAATATTAATTCTAATCCTCGCATTTGATATAGCGCCTTTCACGTTGGGAGGAGTGTGTTAGAGAGTCAGAGAGGGAGAGAGAGAAAGGGAGAGAGAGAGAAACCGCATAGAGACCAGGCTCAAGAAAGGGGTTGAGACATTAGATGGATGTTGTTTTACCATATTGTCTCACTGTCTCAAGTCCCCAATGGTTCTCCAATCTACACCTGAGCCTCTAAGGATCTGACACTGGGAGTCATAGGAACAGGAATAGGCCATACAGCCCCTCGAGCCTGTTCCGCCATTCTATCAGATCATGGGCTGATCTACACCTCAACTCCGATTACCTGCCTTTGCCCCATATCCCTTGATACTCTGACCTAACAAATATCTATCCGCCTCAGTCTTGAAAATTTAAATGGATCCAGCATCCACAGTCTTTTGTGGGAGAGAGTTCCAGATTTCCACAACCATTTTACACTAGTCTCCAGCTTCCTCTCGATGCTGTGGGCAGATAATAATAATCACAATAATAAGCCTTGCATTTGATATAGCGTCTTATCACGTCGTTGAGACATCTCCAAGTGCTTCACACAATATACTGTAAAGTGTAGGGACTGCGTATTTTGTGGGCGAAATACAGTCACAATTCACAAGATAGTCATGAATGACTCCTCTCTCTCTCTCTCTCTCTCTCTCCTGCAGAGTATCCACCTCTCCTTCCTCCGCACCGTCCCACCGTACTCCCACCAGGCGCAGGTTTGGTTCGAAATGATGCGAATCTTCAAATGGGGCCACATTATCCTGATCGTCAGCAACGACCACGAGGGGCGGGCAGCGCAGAAGAAGCTGGAGACGCTGCTGGAGGAGAGGGAGTCAAAGGTCAGTGTCTGGCCTCTATGTTGCTCTGGGGTGTTCTGTGTATGTAGATATATGTACGTGAACACATTCTCTCCATTGTAAACATGGCTAACATTATGCTTTAAGCATCTGCGGTGTCCTGAGTGGTATCTGACAAAACTTGTACTTTATCATTTCACTTGCTTCATCCTCAGTCAAAATCTCCTATGAGTAACCAACTGCAGGATGAGAGCCGGTCACTGGAGCTCTGCAAAACAGCCTGCAGTTTCTTGTTAAAAGTTTCTTGTTTGTCTCTTGCTTTATATACTTAAAAAAAAGCATCTTCTCAGCCGTGGCTCACACCTTCGCAGCTTACCAACGGGCAGAGCAGTCTCAGTCCAGAAGGGCCCATGCTATAAACCGTCCCATTCTGACCCTTGAGGTTAGAAAGATCTACTTCGGATCTTTCAGATTAGATCAGCCACGATCTGATAGAATGGCGGAACAGACTTAAGGGGCTGAATGGCCTCCTCCTATGTCCTATGTCCATATCACCCATTGGAAACTCATGTTCCCCCTCTCCCACTTTGTACTTTCTGGACCATCGTGCTTCTGTTGAGGGAAAACTTGCCTCAAAATAACCCTGAATGGTAGGCTGCTGCCTACACAGGATGGCTGAGTGTAAAAGCTCTACGGGCCGAATGGCCTCCCTCCGTGCCATCCTTGGCTTCTTGGACATTCAAAACCCTATCCGCCTCTGCACAATGGCGTGACCTGCAAGCAAGTCTGTTTCAGTCGAAAGACGGTTTGAAATGAGACCTGGGAAGGACGCGGAAGATCGTAAGGAAGGATTCCTAACAGAGATGAACGGACGAATGAGGGAAGAATGAGAGCGTGGGTAAAAATAGAACACACTCAATAACTTACAAGGAAACGAGTCAAAGCGATCAGCGAGACCCAGCAACTGGAGGAGGGAGGGAAATCAAGAGGAAAGAACTTGTATGTTTTCAGCGCCTTTAACATCTCAAGGTGCACTTCGCTGTGAAGTAGCTGGCCTCATTCTGTAGGCAGCCACTTTATGCACAGGAATGACCTGCTTTGAGAGCTTTGGGATGGAGGATCGCTGCCCAGCTAACCAGGGGCTCTTTGGTGTCAATCGGAACAGGCAAAAGGGACCTCAACATCTCATCTTCGAGACAAAGTGATCTTTCTTTCTCATCTTATGTTCTTACATAGCTTGGAACGTGACATGTAACTACCAGGATGGTGGAAGGCCAACTAGATGGACCTTGGTCTTCTTCTTTCGCCCAGCAAATTCTTCTGTTCTTACAAGAACCTCCAAAAATATAGCGCTCCCCCTTTGGTACCTCACTGGAGGGTCATTCCAGACTTCATGTCCCGACTTGGGGGCATGAAACTTCAACCTTCCCATCCAGAGGCGAGCATGCTATCACCAGAGCCAGGCTGACACCCAGTCAATCAGTAGCAGGACTGACTGTTGAGCTGAAGAATCATCCAGCAAAGCAGTAGGTCTCAAGTGGTGGACGGTATTCTGTTCTGTGCACATTCTACTGACCAGTTATCAAAGCACGTCACCTTCAGCTAAGTATAACTATGGAAGCGATAGTTAAAGAGGTCACACAAGACAGGGCTGATAGACGGGATTTGGTAGATGCCCTCTCTTTTAGTATAGGATGCCACCAAGGACAGGGAACATAGATCGTTATCGTGCACTGCACTCTGGAACGTTGAATGTACGCCTTCTTTGTATACACCCACTGGGCTCACTGTGAGCATCGACTGTAACACAGCACAGTGAGGGTTTGATTGGTCACTGACACATGCAGAAACCCATCACCATGCTTGAGTATCCAAACCAGACCGAGAGTTCCACGCATCCAACCTACACATGGAAATTTCCTTGTGACCTCAATAGAATGCGCGCTCTGTCCCTGGAGGGACTCATCCTGCTTAACTAATTCCAGAGCCTATTGGGCACAGGTTGGTAAGAAAGTGTGCGTTGGGGTAACTGCTGGAACCTAACCTGCCAAACCCCCATGACTTGCAATTAGCAATTGAGAGAACTGTCCGGCAAGTGTTTCTGCTGCTTGTCCAGCTAGGACCACCCTACCTGTTTAGGCATTGGCTTGCAGATATGAGTGTAGACGCTGTTGATGTAGCCCAAGTGAGTGTGCACACTGTTAGTGCAGACTGCCATCTAGAGGTAGAAGAGAGAACCTGCTGTGTCAGAATGCAATCAACATGCTTTGAGATAACACACTCGGCCAGATTTCTCAGCGAGCTTTGTATTTCTTACCACTTCTAAGTCCTGGTACATTTCAGGCAGATTTCCTGATCCCCAGAGGATAGTAATTTTCTGTCTCAGTATCAGTCTGGCAGCTTATCCTTGACAACTGGGAGGCAGTTGCTACGGAAACCCATGCTTAGAATGGTTTCCTCACTCTTGATGTCTTTGGACCTAAATGACCTAAATGACCAGAAACCAGCACCAACCTAGTGCCAGGCCTCGGGCCCACTTTGGAACCAGCCGCTGGGAGAGTGCCCGTGGCTTAAGGTTCTTTTTGCATTTGCTTCCGCTGCCTGTTGGAGGCACCGCAGAACTTTGCTCAACAGTGAGCTCCCACAAAACTGCCGAACGTCTTGACGTGTGATCGATAAATACGGCACAAGGAATTCTTTCCACCCGCTGTGGTTGAAGAGATCCTGACCTGGGGAAGCTCAGTTGTTACACTGAAGTGTAAGGTGCCTCAGCTGCCTCCACACTCCTACTCTGTCCCTCGAGGCAGATCTTACAATGCACGAGATTCCAAAACGCACACTAGGTTTATTTCTAATGATGATTTGTGCATTTATATGGCACCTATAACATCAAAACACTTCACAGGTAATTGCTGTAAAGCATAATGACTATATTTATAGACGAGCGCATCAGCCAATTATGTGCACAGCAATGTCCCACGAATATCCATGTTGCTAGTGGTTGATCACTTTTATCTGGAAGATTGTTGACCAGGACACCAGGAGAAACTCCCTTCTCTCTTCAAATAATGCTCTCTTTAGCGTCTTCCTGAACAGGGAGATGGGACAGCCATAAGATGACACCCCCACAACAATGTAGCGTTCCCCCCAGCACTGTACTGGGGTTGTCAGCCTAGACCATGAGCTCCAAGCCCTGACGTGGGGCTTGAACCCACAACCTTCTGACCCAGAGGCAAGAGTGCTACCAACTGAGCCAGGCTGACACTTGCAATGTCTGATTCCATGTGAAGCACCAAATGCAATCGGGCTGAGATTAGAATGAGTGAGATATTTAGTGCAAAGCATATTTTCCAAATCAAATTAGCTTTGACTCAAGCAAAGCGCATACCTGTCTTTTTATTGTGAAGGAGACAGTTAGGTGATGGATCTTACCTGCAACCCATTTAAGCAAGCCTCAACAACCTTGCCACAGGAACTATCGTGTGCTGAATATCCTGCTGGTGGAGCAATTGAGTGGTTTGCTATCGCCGAATAGTGCTGCCGCTCCCTTGCAGGAACATTCTAGCATTGCACCCACGATCTTAAATGGGAACATTTTGTGAGGAATAGATTTGTGTGGCAGTTCCATAAAGAAATAACAGTAATTGTGAACAAAGGAACTCAGTGGGCGTTGTAGATTTTAACCTCTGGCAATGTTTTTTGATGCACGATCGTCGAGGAGTTTGGAAGTCGCAAGGCTTGGAATAGAGAAAGGGAGGTCCTGAAATAGATCAGGTTGATGATGATTCATCAAATGTTGAATTCTTTGAAGAAATCTGTAGTTGGACAGGGAGCTATCCTTGCACAGAAAGAGGTAACTGGTGGGATGCCTCAGAGATTCGTGTTGCACTGGATGGAGTTGGAAGTATCAGGAACAAGCTGAGCAAATACAAAAACATTTTGTAGATTAGGGAGTTGGGTGAAAAGTGGCAAATATTGTTCAATGCAAACGAATGCAGAATGCAAAGAGCGGAGAAGGAAAATAGTGAGATTAAGCTACAGTTTGAGTCAAAAGACAGGACACAGAGGGATTTGAGAGATAGCTTGATGGTGAGATCATTATAATTATCAGCACAGTGGGCAACAGCAGTAAAGACAGCAGGACAGAATGTAGGCCACTTGAACTGATTCTGAAGTTATACGGAACACTGGTTCAGACACACCCAAGGGCATCGATTACAGTTATGATCGCCACACAGTAAGAACATCTTGGCAATAGAGAGGGCACAGAAACAGGCAATGAGATTAATGGGTGGATTACGTCACCTGAGTTGGGAGGCTTAGTGGGAGAGGCGTGAAAGGCACTCTATAAATGGAATCTTGTTGTTGTTGTTGTTGAGAGGCTTTGTGTTGAGGGAGGTGAGGAGGGGCTATTGGAAACTGGGAATGTTCACACTAAAGAAGAGAAAGCTCAGGGGAGATCTTATTAACGGATTCAAGATCTTATAGGGGATGAGAGACAAGTCATTATTTATGAAGAGTTCATTTGTGTGTTTCTTTTACTCTGAGTCCAACCCAGATGGACTGTGGTGATCTTTTCTGCTCCTTGTATTGTGCTCTTGTTCGGATAGCTGAAAATACAATTGGGAAACATCAAGCAAAGCACGATTAGGAAGTCCTCTTAACGTGGTGCAGTGCCCATTGAGTCTGTGTGAATAACCTCACAGCCACTGGTCTTAGGAGTTGTAACTTTGTCTCTCTCCACCTCTGTACCTTGAACCTTTACCCCCTTCCCACCCACCCATCACCTACCCCTTTTCTCCCCACGACCCCCAATATCCTGACAAGTGTGCAATTTGGCATGCACTATTAGGTTCAAAGCTATCAGACCAGCACTACACAACTGAGGAAGTGGGTTTTGCAAGCTCCAGTGATACGGATTGCCCTGAGGAGGAGAAGGAGACGAAGCAGGAGAGGGTTGAATTGCTTACTACACGTCATTTTCAATTGTTTATAATATTCTTCTGTGTCTACATATTCTCTCTGTGTACATTGTCCATCAGAATAAAAAAAGGAACTTTGAAAAGACCGATCAACATTCGTATGACAGCAGGCGAGGACCAAAGGTATATTTGCATGGAGAATGCACGCGCCCACCAAAACCTTAACTAACTGAATAGAAGAGGCACAGTCACAGAATGACAAATGAGACTGTTCTGGTAGCACGCTTAGTTTCAAAACAGATTAATTTGGTTTGCCCTTGAGAATGGTCTACAGATAACCTGTCCCCCCCGTCCTTCCTTTGAACGAGCCTTTGTGATGAGGACACGTGCATGTTGAATAAAAACTAACTTGCAAGTTTCTTTATGAGTACATCTTTCAGTTTATATAAAAAAAGAGAAAAATCACTTCTTTTCTTCCCAAACCCCTCCTTCCTTTCAGGCTTCACCCTTAGAATGTTTGATTTTTTTTGTTGTGTTTTATGAAGACAGACAAACCCTTTTTCCCCAGGTTGAAATGCATTCATTCCTCCTCTCTTACTCTCTATCAGATGCACGCACTTCCTATGGTCTTGTTCTATCTTAGTTTGCATGCCCAGTGCAGAGAATCTTGTAGCTCATGGTACCTCCAGAGATCTGGATAGCATTTAAGATGGTCTTTGCTGGAGATCAAAGGCGTAAGTCCTTGTGGATGGAGCCGTGGCCACAGAGTACTTGGCAGAAAGTGTAGTAATTCTATTTCCCTACACTGACCACAGGCTGAGAAAGTTCTGCAGTTTGAACCTGGGACCGCAAACATGACTTCAATACTGATGGAAGCCAGAGAACTGGAGGCACGAGTGATCGTTCTGTCAGCCAAGTAGGTGACCTTTTTCCCTTCACTTCAACTTCTCTGTATTTTCATCTGTCGCACATGAAAGGCCTGAAATTCCACATGAAGCTTAAGGTGGGACAGAATTCTGGAAGTTTCTTAAATCCTGCCTTAATTTGAATTTTGTTTCCCCTCACAACCCCCGCCCCCCAAAAAAATAAACCAAACTGACCTCCAAATTAAGGCTGGATTCAAGAATTTTTCACAAATCTACAGCTTCTTAAGTCTTAAGAGACAAATTTACAAGTTAAGACTAAGTGGAATTTTCGACTGCTAGTCTAACTCTCTCTTGGGGGTTGTTTCTGTATCAGCCTCTCAACCCTGATTTAATGAGTTTCAAGCTTAATGCAAGGCTTCTATTCTCCCATCCATTTTGTGTTGTACTTTGGCAGATCTGTGTGTGTGGGGTGGGGGGGGGTGCTGGAGGGAGAGAGTTCGGGAGAAACATCTTTGTGGGGCGGTTGATGGGAGCGAAGAGCTCACTGTCAAAGACCGTGGTTAAAGCCGAGAGCATCAAGAAGACGGAGAAGACGATCTTATTGTAGAATAATCATAAATTCTTAATTTAGGAGCGGATTTCTTTTTAAAGAGCTGTGGGATAAACAGTTTCTCAATTATGATTAATTTCACTATAAAATGTTACACAATTCAAGGTGGAATTTCAGGCCGTCAGAGCTGTGTGCAGGACATTAGTCCCGGGTGTGGCCTGACGAGAGCACTATTCAGCCTGAGCTGGGGAACTGAGCTGATTCAGCAACGCATGTCTTGGTTACTGCTGCCTGGAAAACTATGTCAATGCAAATTTTCAGTGTCTGTAACTGTACGATGTCTAACTGTATTTTGATGGCGTGATTCCATTTTAATCTCCTGCAGAGGTGATAAGAACCAGTTACGTTTGTACTCAGAAATGCTTGCACTAATTTGAGGAACATGTTTACAGGGCACCACAAGTTTGACCACACTGTGTTCCACACAGAAACAAAGACTCAGTCACTGGTCACTGGCAGACTGAGTTCCGCAGGCGGTAGGTGCCTCTGAGAATTTGAATGAGAAATGCTATCCGATCCCATCCCTCGCACTTACTCCCCCAATGGTTACATTCTTGTTGGGTCACAATCAAACCTCACACTTTGCGGATGGAAGCACCTTCTCTTCGACCGTGCCTTCAGCTCCCCTCTCGACTCTCTACCCCCTCCTCGCTCCCTCCCTTCACCCTGACCATTTCCCCCCCTGCTCGGGTCCCGACCCAACTGTCCAGCGCCTTGGAACGTCCTCCCGACGTGAAAGGCGCTCTATAAATGAAATCTTGTTGTTGTTGTTGTTGTTTTGCACAAGTTGAGACTCCAGGAAGTAGCTTAAACTGCCCAGACAAATTGGCTGCGGTGTTTCGTCCACAAAATACACAGTGATTCCACTTTACAGGATATCCTGTGAAGCTTTCAGTCACTTCCCTCCAAAGCCTCACTGTATTTAACCCGAATTGGGGTCTCACAGACACAACCGCCAACAGAGATATACGCACATAGTGTGGCGGCAGACAGCAGTGTCTCTTACTTCACCCAAGTTCTCACCCGCGATTCGTGTGAGGCATGGGGAACAGTGATCCAGTTTCACTACAACAAGCTGCGTTTACACATTGCTCCATTAACGGGCAGACAGCAGATGCATACCCGATCACACGGACCAATTCCTGAGCTGACTCTCTGATAATTTTATTGCCGAGTTCCTCCACACAGTGAGCGGAAAGCAGAGGAGGCCAGTTCACCTCCAGCCCCTGCGTTCAAGGTGAGAGTGGAGTCAGTTGTCAGCCTCGTGTGGCTGGGGCTGGGCTGTTCTCAGACGCTCCTTTCCTTCTCAGTGAAGACGACGCTGTGACGATGTACAAGACAGCAACGATCCTCAACATGACGGGGCCTGGCTACGTCTGGCTTGTGGGAGAGAGAGAAATATCAGGGAGGGCCATGCAGCATGTCCCCGAAGGTGTGTGCTCGTAACGTTCACTACAGTGTTTCCCACCGTAACATCACCCATCGCTGACGTCACTACACACACACAATGCCATCGGATCCGATAAAGCCCTCGCCCCACCACTGTCCGCCTGATACACAACCGCTTGCATTTATATAGCGCCCTACACGTGGGGTAGCGTCCTAGAGCGCTTGACAGTGGCGGAGTCTGACCCCGAGCCGGGGGGATAGCGAGGGGGGAGGTCACTTTAAGTACGATCAAAAAGGAAGGTCTTTGGGTGGGATTTGAAAGGGGAGGGAGAGGGCAAAGCGGAGAGATTGAGGGAGAGAGGACTAGAGTTTCAGGGCCCTCGGGGTCAATCTGATATGCTCCACACCCCTCACTACAGTCTGATGTACTCCACACCCCTCATTATCAGTGTAATATATTACGCACCCCTCACTGTCAGCCTCTCGGAGGGAAGGCACCTTGAAGGCAGGCGTCTCTGAGATGAACTTAACTGGTTAAGTATTTGACTAATGTTGCTTTCCTGCACAGGGGTGATCGGGCTGCAGCTCATCAATGGGAAGAACGAGTCGGCTCACATCAACGATGCAGTGGGCATTGTGGCCCAATCCATCCATGAGCTCTTTGTGAAAGAAAACATCACCGACCCTCCCAGAGGCTGCGTGGGCAACACTAACATCTGGAAAACCGGGCCCCTCTTCAAAAGGTAACCGACTTCACAAGCTCCCCATCCCAGATAAGCTGAGAACAGGCAAGTTCTCCTCGCTTGCTGGTTTCTGGGGGGCGATCACTTTGCGAAGTTGGATTTGCCATCTCCTCTCTTGGCCGATATTTCCCGGCCTTTTCCTCAACACCATAGATTGAATCTAGATTAAAACCAGATGGAGTAAATCTAGAGGCAGGGGTGGAATTTCTTGCCACATGTGCCAACGTGTCACTGTGGCCTGTGATCTCCTGTGGAGCAGTGAGCGGGTCAGTCACAGTAAGTATCTTGCACGGCTCTGTTCAGCTGAACTCGAGACCTGGGGGAACCTAACAGCAGCTGCAGTTACAGGGCTTCAGTTTGTTGGTTTGCCTTGGTTTCCTGCAGGGTCCTGCTGTCCTCCAAGTATCCCAATGGGTTCACAGGCCAAGTGGAGTTCAATGATGAAGGAGATCGGAAGTTTTCCAACTACAGCATCGTGAACGTGCAGAAAGGGAAGCTGGTGACAATCGGAGTTTATAATGGCACAAAGGTAAGTACGAGACGCATCTGAGTTCTTTATAGACTCCAAACCTGCATTGTAACCTTATCTCTCATCACCGCCAACAGCAACGAGAGCAACAAATAGCATTTATGCAGCGCCTTTCATGTCAGGAGGACTTCCCAAGGCGCTGGACAATGAGGGGGTTTGTCACCGAGCTGGGGGTTGGGATCAGAGAGGGGTGGAGGGCAATGGGGGTGGAGGAGAGAAGATGACCGAAGGCACGATCGAAAAGGAAGGACTTGAGATGGGGCTTGAAGGAGGCAAGGGAGGGGTTGGGATGGAGTTCAAGAGGGTGGGGGCAGAAAGGCTGAAGGTCCGACCACCGATAGTTGAGCAGGCAGGGAGGGGGACGTAGAGCAGACCAGTGCCTGAAGCCTCCAATTCCATCTCATTTTAGTCCGTAAGACCATTTTGTCTTAAGGTCGCACAGATTCTGATCCTAACCCATTGATCTTTGCTCTTATTCTAATCCTATGGTTCTTGTAAAATTGTGTTTTGTTGCTTTAAAGATATTGGCTCAATTGGGAAAATGAATCCGCACTTCCTTATGTTTTTTTACACACCTGTGATTCTCCTGTCACGCTTTGTGTTTACCAATCCCACAGATTCTGGTGAATGATAAGAAGATAATCTGGCCAGGCGGGGAACTCAACGCACCCAGGGGCTTTCAGATGTCAACTAGATTAAAGGTACGCTTCTTGGGTCAAACAGTTCCACTAGAAGACTGACCAACAAACAGAACATCAGCCCTTTTGAGACACGTTTTAACAACCCTGTTGCAGAAAAATGTTCTGGCCACCCATATTGTCTTCTGTTGATCATCCTCAATTGATGCAATCTTGTTGATTACTCATCGGTCAATAGTCAAAGGCTCTTTCTCTCTCTCTCTCTCTGTTTTATCTGATCAAAACCATCAAATATTGGTCTGGTGAAAATAGCCTCCATTTTCACAAGTCGCTCTGGGTAACTAACCCCATCATTTCTGGTGTCGTCTCAGAGAATCGCTGCTTTCCCCTCTCCGTGACCATGTTGTCCTTTCTACAATTATAACGATCCTTAAACTTGATGCCTTTCGCGTCGGGAGGACGTCCCAAGGCGCTTCACAGGATTTACTGTAAAGTCCAGTTGATAATAATAATAATAATCCTCGCATTTGATATAGCACCTTATCACGTCTTTGAGATGTCTCAAACGTGCTTCACAGGATATACTGTAAAGTGAATTGACTGTATATTTTGTGGGAAAAATGCAGCAGCCAATTGTGCACAGCAGCGTCCCATAAACAGTCGTGGACTGAGAGACTGATTTATTTTTAAATGAATGATTACCCCCGGAAAATCGATCCGCCAATCGACTAACAACCGGTTGCTACTTGCTGCTAGGTAAACAGAGGCGTGTGGATTTTGCCCAACGTTTCGCCCGCCGGGAATTAAAACCAGGTCTCTCGCTTGCAAGGCGAGTGCTCTAACCACTGAGCTACAGGTCTCCAAGTCTAGTAGGGTGCCCACAACCGCAATGTAACCAGTGTGTTGTAAAAATGCTTTGCTTTACGATCGAAGCTGCTTGCACTCGTATGTTTCTAGACCTGCTCTGTTCACAATGCCAGCAGTTATAGGAAAAAGCATTTTCTTCCTTTCTTCTTCCTAACAAAACTCATAACAATTTGACGGGGTTTTTGATTTTCATCCAAAGATCGTCAGCATTCATCAAGAGCCCTTTGTGTATGTCAAGCCGACAATGCCGGATGGGACTTGTAAAGAAGAATTCATGATGAACGGAGAGATCATTAAAAAGGTGATCTGTATTGGACCCAATGCCACAGTGACCGGTCCATTAGCAGGTATTTCCATGCTTTAATTAATCCATTTTTAAATTTTTTGCCTGTGAGTCACACTTCACAATACAACCATTTCACACCCAATACAATGCAGTTCCATAAATACATAATTCATTTGTAAGTCACCTTGTCGCACCCATTAAAATGCATCCCCAGTCATCACCTAATTATGGTAAAGCTGAATACCCAAAGTAACATTACATTACAGCAACACACTCATTACAAACAAAATGCCAACCATATTCAATAAAATTGAACTCCAGCCATATTCAAGAGAGAGCCATCAACTGAGCCAAGCTGACATTCAGTGTACAAATACTTGGATATTGCAACCAGCCATACTTTTCATGTTGGGAATCATTGGAACTTGTATTATTTATTGAACCAATAAATTATTATTAAAACCAAAAACAATAATTAAATTGGTCATTTTCAATCTACGACTGTTTGTGGGACATTGCTGTGCGCAATTGGCTGCCGCGTTCGCCCACAAATATACAGTCAATTCACTTTACAGTGTGTTCTGTGAAGCGCTTTGGGACGTCCTCCCGACGTGAAAAGCGCTATATCAAATGCGAGGATTATTATTATTATTATTGACATTCTGCTGTTATATTGTCTCCCAACAGGTCGCCCCATTATCCCTCAATGTTGCTATGGGTTTTGTGTTGATTTGCTCGTCAAACTTGCCAGCACTACCACACTCAACTTTACCTACGAGGTTCATCTTGTCCATGATGGAAAGTTTGGGACGCAAGAACGGGTAAGCATAGACTTTGCTTTGAGTTTCACACTGTTTCATAGGAACAAGAGGAGGCCATTCAGCCCCTCGAGCCTGTTCCGCCATTCTATTTATTCATAGCTGATCTGTATCTCAATTCGAATTACCTGCTTTTGCCCCCATAACCCTTGATACCCTGACCTGATAAAAATCTATCCACCTCCGTCTTGAAAATGTGAATGGATCCAGCACCACAACCTTTTGGGGAGACAGTACCGGATTTCCACTACCCTTTGTGTGAAAAAATGCTTTCTGATTTCACTCCTAAATGGCCGAGCTGTAATTTCAAGATGATTCCTCCTTGTTCTGGATTGTCTCCTGGTGAGAAGAAAATCGGCCCCAGAGTTCATCGGAAAAGAGCGGGAGTTTTTCCTGGTGCCCAGCCCAACAATCCCCCCAGATAAAATTGGTCTTTCACTTCACGAATGTTTGTGGGCCATTTGGTTGTGGCAATTTGATTGCTCTGTTTGCCTACAAAATGTATATTTTTGCGGGTGGAATGCGGCAGCTAATTGCGCACAGCAGTGTCCCACAAACAATCGTGGATTGAGTGACCAATTTTTTATTTTTTTTGGAGGGTTTATTACCCCCAGAAAGCAATCAGTCAATCGACGAACAACTGGATTCCTACTCACTCCAGGGTAAACAGAAGCGTGTGGAGTAAGGAAACCCGCTTAAGGTTATGCCCCTTAATAATAATAATAATGAATGTTCCTGACGTTGTAGGTGAATAACAGCAATAAGAAGGAGTGGAATGGGATGATGGGAGAGCTGCTGGGAGGACATGCTGACATGATCGTTGCTCCTCTAACTATCAACAATGAACGAGCTCAGTATATCGAATTCTCCAAGCCTTTCAAATACCAGGGACTCACCATTCTAGTGAAAAAGGTAGAGATCTGCATCATAAGTCTCAAGACTTATCATGCAATCCAGTCTTCCAGCAGTTTGACATCAATCATCTCCTCGCCCATCTACTTGGTCACCCATCTACTCGGTCACATAGCATTCCTTTTCATTCAGACATCTACCTAGCCAGTGATTCAGGTATTTGGGGAGAGTTCCAGAGGCGTGAGGGGCAAAGTGGCTGAAGGCTCATCCTCCGATGGTCAGGGGGAATGAATGGAGGGCGTGAAGCAGACTGGAGCTCTGTTTGATGTAGGACAGGCGAATCTAACGATGCACACACACAGCTCACACGCTGACCACGCGCTGTTTCTGCTTTTGCTCAGGAAATTCCCCGGAGCACCTTGGACTCGTTCATGCAGCCTTTTCAGAGTACGCTCTGGCTCCTGGTCGGTCTCTCTGTGCACGTGGTGGCAGTGATGTTGTATCTGCTGGACAGGTTCAGGTTCGTCCCGTCGCTCCGTACTTCACCCTTCATGCTTGCGCTTTCATCCCTTGAGGAGAGAGCTCTCGTCAGCGATTTTCACACTTCTCTATCATCCTAATTTTAATAAAGCTTGTGTCAGCTAAGGTGACCAAAGACACCCGGAGTTGAACAACTCCAATCTTTTGCTTTCAGTCCTTTCGGGCGTTTTAAAGTGAACAGTGAAGAAGAGGAAGAAGATGCATTGACTCTGTCTTCAGCCATGTGGTTCTCTTGGGGGGTGCTGCTGAATTCCGGAATCGGAGAAGGTGAGAGAGAGACAGAAGGAGAGAGAGAATGAGAGGGTTTAACAGAGAGAATGAGAGTGTGTGTGAGAGAGAATGAGAGTATGAAGCAGTGTGTGAGACAGATTGAGAGAGAGTGAGTGAGAGAGATTGACTGAGTGAAGTGAAAGAATGAAAGCGAGAATGGTTGAGAGTGTGAGAAAGTGAGAGAGAATAAGTGTGAGAGTGAATGAAAGAAAGAGTGAGAGAGTGAAGTTGGTACAGTTGGGGTTTGGTGAGGGCCAACAGTCTATGACAAACTAAGAAAAAAAATTCTAAATGGGTCTTTTCCAGGGGCTCCGAGGAGTTTTTCTGCCCGTATCCTGGGCATGGTGTGGGCTGGCTTTGCTATGATTATTGTGGCCTCATACACTGCTAACCTGGCCGCTTTCCTGGTGCTGGACAGACCTGAAGAGCGCATCACAGGAATCAACGACCCCAGGGTAAAGCTTTCACTCTGATGTGTAATATGTTTCAAAAGGGAATTGGATAATGACTTGAAAAGGAAACAGGGCGATGGGAAAAGAGCAGAGGATCAGGACTAATTGGATAGAACTTTCAAAGAGCCGGGACTGGCACAATAATAATAATAATAATCCTTGCATTTGATATAGCGCTTTTCACATCGGGAGGACGTCCCAAAGCGCTTCACAGAATATAATACAATGGGACGAATGGCCTACATCTGAGCTGTAGGAATCTATAATTCTATGATTCTGTGCATCACTGCTATAAACCTACTGTAATAAGTGTGGCACAGGCACTCTATATGCCCAGCCAGGGGTAGAATGGCTTCCCAGGAAATTTCCCGAGTGCTCCCGTAAATGGTTCCCAATTCTTATCATCCCACTCTAGAGGGTCAGTGTCTTCAGTGTCTATTGAAACCACAACCACTCCTCACCAGCAGTGGAAATCCATGTGCTATGTTCTCACTCAAAGCAAGGACAACTAGAGTACGACCCCCATTACAACACAGGTTCGCTTATTGCACGATTGGGATGTGGACACCGACATTTACTAACCCCAAAATATCTGAGCCGGCTGCATTGGTGCTTTGAAGTGCTTTGAGACGTTTCCCCCCCCCCCCCACCCATTCCATCGTGTGAAATGCACTATACGAATCGTGTTGTGTTGCGTGAAGCCAAAATGGTTGACTTCCAGGACATCAAGTTGCTGCCGACGTCACTTCTGGAGGTGACCCGATGACCCAGACAGAAGTCACCCTTTTTTGGCTTTCCGCGTAGCAGCGGACATTTTGAAGTGCCAATGGTGCCTGCGTGGAAGCACAGTGAATGCAGAAGCACTAAGTCAGCGATCGCACCCCATTGTAGCCATAGCCAGGATTCTATGGAGCCCTCAAAAAACTCCATATTGTAACTGTAGCCTCCACTGTTACTGTCTTAACTTACCTGTATCTTGCGTTTACAGCTTCGAAATCCCTCGGATAAATTCATCTATGCCACAGTGAAGCAGAGCTCTGTGGATATCTACTTCCGTCGGCAGGTGGAGCTGAGCACCATGTACCGACACATGGAGAAGCACAACTACGAGAGTGCGGCTGAGGCTATCCAGGCTGTGCGCGATGGGTAAGGCTTTGACAGCGTCTGCCCTGGACGCATCCTTCACTCAGCGGGCTTAATGACATCTGTCCAGCTACCAAACCCATTCTGTAAAACACGCAAGACAATAGCATCTTCCCTGGCAACTCAGAGCTCAAAATCCCACTAGTCTGGGACAAGAGCCACACTGTGGACCGAGATAGAATCCACAATAGGTTTTCAAAAGGAATGAGACAGAAAATTGATCAGGAAAAATATGAAACGGATTGGGGGAAAGGGCAGGGAGGTGGGGAAAAAAGAGGGAGCAGGGAGGTGGGAATAAAAAGTAGCGCTCCAAGATGCTACCCCGGGTAAAGGGTGCTAAATAAATGCAAGTTGTTGTTGCCGAGCTCTTGGAGAGCCAGCACAGGCATAATGGGCCAAATGGCCTCCTTCCATGCTGTTAATGTCCCTGCTACTGGATGGCTTTGATAGGTGAAGACCTTGTGGTTCTTGCGCTAAACAGAAGCTTCACAGTGAGAGCTCCTCTTCATCAACTTCCATTTTCCTGCAGGAAACTGCACGCGTTTATCTGGGACTCGGCGGTGCTGGAGTTTGAGGCATCGCAGAAGTGTGACCTGGTGACCACAGGCGAGCTGTTCTTCCGATCAGGTTTTGGGATTGGAATGAGGAAGGACAGTCCATGGAAGCAGGCTGTGTCGCTTGCTATACTGAGGTATGGGCAGGCATCACTGTGTAAATGATCCAAGCAAGTTAAGCTTGTATCACACCTCACCTGTGCGGAATTGGCTGACGTGTTTTGCCCACAAAATACACAGTCACTACACTTTACAGTGTATCCTGTGAAGCGCTTTGAGATGTCTCAAAGGTGTGATAAGGCACTATACCAAATGCAAGGATTATTATTATCCCTCGGGTATAATCAAACTAGGTTATTCAGCACTCTCATCACCACAAACGGGTGTCAGTTGGTAGCCCTCTCTTGCCTCTGAGTCAGAAGGTTGTTGGATTTGAGTCCTACGTCAGGACTTTGAGCTCACAGTATAGCCTAACACTCCAATACAGCACTGATGGATCATTTGAATCAAACGGTAAACTCAGCTCCCATCTGCCTATCCTGGTTGACAGTAAAGATCCAATGGCACCATTCGAAATGAGAGCATTTTCTCCCAGTTTCCTTACCAACAATCCCCAAACTAAAATTAGTCATTCATATCATGGCTGTTTATGGGACACTGCTGTGTGGAAATTGGCTGCTGCATTCGCCGACAAAATTCACAGTCACTCCACTTTGCAGCAAATACTGCGAAATGCTTTGAGATATGTTGACATAATAAGGTTATAAAAATGTAATTTATTTTTTCTTCCTAACCTGCTGTGGGTCTTATGGAGGGCTATATTCAGAGGATAGATTGAGGTAGAGGCTGCAGGCCCCTGATGGTTATTGTCAAAGGGAATTGGGGTGGGGGTGGTCAGAATGTTTCTGACTCTGATCTTATGAATTTCAGTTTCCATGAGAACGGTTTTATGGAAGACTTGGATAAGAACTGGGTCAGATACCAGGAGTGTGACTTCCGCAGCAATGCCCCAGCAACTCTCACATTTGAGAACATGGCAGGTAAAGCTCTGAGGATAGTGGGGGGGGGGGCAATTTAAAAAAAAACAAAATTGTTGCTCAGCCTAGTGGGTGTCCAACACATACGGTACCGTGCTTAAGAGTCTCCAAACCAAACTGAGAGTTCCATGCAACCCACCTACACGTGGAAATTCCAGAGGCAGGTTGTTGGAATGGAATGCGCACCCTCTCTCTCTCTCCCTGGAGGGATGCATCCCGCTTACCTAATCCCAGAAAGTATTAGGCACAGGTTGGCAAGAGCGAAGGCTTGGGACACCCCAGAGTGTGCATTGGCGTAACTGCTGGAGTCTAACCAGCTAAAACCGCATAGCCTGCCGTTACAGCAAGTCTGTGTTAGACAGTCATGTGGGGTTGAGCCCAGTTGATGGGCAGCTGTGATGTGCAAACAGGCTATTAAGTTGCCAGGAGCTGCTCTCCGCATCTCCCAATTCCACCACTGTCCCAGGGGAAGCAGGGAGCAGACCAACTCCCAGGCCTCTATTCATGTCACAGGAGGAGGACAAAAAGTTAAATGAAATGGAGCCAACGTTTCGAATCCAGGAACTGAAGGACGGATAGCGTGGCACAGCTGGGTGAGAGGTGACCTCTGCTTTCCCGTCTCCCCCTCTTTAGGTGTCTTCATGTTGGTGGCTGGAGGAATAGTTGCAGGAATATTCCTAATATTCATAGAGATCGCTTACAAGCGCCACAAAGACGCCCGGAGGAAACAGATGCAGCTCGCCTTTGCTGCCGTCAACGTCTGGAGAAAGAACTTGCAGGTACTTCCGAGAATTCCACACTATCCCGTACCAAACTGTGAGTGTTTGACCTGCTCGTGACTTATGAGGTTCCGTAATGTCACCGACTTGGGCGACCTGCAGGGATATTATTGCTTTGGCATCTGGAATGTGCTTTTCACAACATTGTTTGCAAGTGTTGAATCCTGCAGGGAACCGGACCGGCGGAAACCAGGAGAGAATTCCACCAGTATCTGTGCGTGTCACCCAGTGCCCGGCTCGCACTGTTCTGGTTAGTCTCAGACCTGCTCACATCACACAGCAGTGAGTGTGTAGCCTTGTGAGATGGAGTCCTGCTCCTTTAACGGTGATTCTTTTGTGAATCCTCGGGGAGAAACTCAGCTTCAAAGTTACGACCGACTTTAAGAGTTTCCCAAATTCCTGGATGCTCTGAAAGGCTAAGAAGATAGAGTACTTGATGGGACCTCGGTTGAACGTCTCGTCCTTTGGATGAGACATTAAACCGAGATCCCATCTGCCTGTTGTTGGGAAAAATGAATCCCGGGTTCGATCAAAAGACTCGACAAATACTAAAGATGGCATGACACACCTTTGAATGCTTTATTTCGATACCAGAAGACTCTTTTTCTTTATCTGCCAAATCCTTTTCAACTGCTCTATTTGTCCATTAGAATCCCCTACTTGTTCGTTAAAATCCCTTTTTAGCTGTTTCATCTCTTTTTCCCTATCGTTTAGAGTCGCATACAACTCTTGTATCTGATGCTGTGCATCTACATTCCCCTCTCCACAAAAGATATTTGAGGAGGGGTTTAAGTTTCTGTCCAAGACGAAGTTTTCCCTCTATCAATTACTGTTCCACATACTGAAGACCTTGTTCAAAAGTTCGGTCGGTCGGGCGGGCATTCTTTATTTAAAGCTGCAGCATCCCGACCAACTTGTGCGCATTATTTACCCTCATACTTAGTCACCCATTGCCGAAATTCATGTTTTAATCTTGTTCTGCTTTTCTTAATCCATGCTAATAACTTGTCAGGAGTTTAACCTGAATAGGACTGTCAGGAGTTTAACCTGAAGTTTGCTGTCAGGAGTTTAACCTGAAGTTTGCTGTCAGAAGTTTAACCTGAACGTTTCCTGGATCAAAAGCCAAACAAGTTCCTACCCGACCTTTTACTTGGGCGAGAGCCAAAGGGTTTAATATTGCTCACTATTTTCATAAGCTTGGCCCAGTATTGCTGAACCTTACCCATGCATGTTGTTGGTCTTTAATTTATGGGCAAGTCTCCTCAACCCTATCAACTGCTATCCAATATGAACAATCTTACAGCAGCTTTTCAACAAATCTTTACCACCATGAAATACTAACTCTAACCACATACGCCAAACCACAGACAATCCCACAATCCCACCTCTAAAAATAACAATCAAAAGAAGGAAGAACATAAACCAATACCATACATCTGATATCCATCAAACACACAAAAATATGCCACTTGTCGAGCCCCACGTTGGGCGCCAATTTGTTGGGAAAAATGAATCCCGGGTTCGATCAAAGGACTCGACAAATACCAAATATGGCGTGACACACCTTTGAATGCTTTACTTCGATACCCAACAGGTAACATCAATCATACAATACAAAGAAAAGTAAATGATCCAATTAGCAATACTAGAATACAATGATTATATCGAAGTAGAATGATTATATTTGACTTTATTATATTAAAAACACATTGGTTACATGCATTTAAGAAATACTCATGTTACCAGTTTAAAGGAGTCAACAGCAGCCGTTCTTTGTCTTCCCTCTCTTGAGCCCGAGCAGCTTAATGATATACTCACAAACTTATGGTGACCCTCTGATCTCTGCTCCCGGGCTGACTGTCTCCCTCTTGAGTAGTCCTGCTCTTCTAACTGTTCTCACCTAGAGGTGGGCTAGTTATACCCTTTTTCCAAGTGTTCTTTTCCTAGGGCCGCTCTACCCATTTCTGATACTGTCATGTACTCAGGTTAGTCAGTCATTTGGCTTGGTGCCATCCTGACTTGAGTCTCCACGAGGTCTTCCTTTTCTAAGCCAAAATGATTGATCGGTTTAGGGCTGTATCTGGTGCTCATTATTTTGTTATGTGGGATCGTTAGTACATTTCTTTTAAGTGAATGGTTATTTCAGTTTAAACAACTTGCTCGTTAGTTCGCCTTCAGTTATTTTGCAGACCCTGTCAGAATCTAGAGACTTATTGCTAAGCTGAGAGTCTGTGTCGACCGGTACCTTGGACCGTTGCCTCTGTGGGCTTCTTGTTATCTACTAATAAGTGGTGACCTCCTGCCCTTTTCCAAAGCTATCCTTTTATTCCTTAAGAAACAAAGAAAACCAGATGTGTCCTATCCCATGACCGTCAACATTTAACATAAAATCACACATTTATACATATTCACATAACATAATCCCGAATAATATTCCATTATAAATTCCTTATATTGTTATATTCCAACATTGTTCAGGTGGATGTTAAAGATCCCATGGCACGTTCGCAGTGTGAGTGCGGAGAAGAAACAGGAGCTGTCTGTTTCAGTACAATCCCGCGAGTTGACTCAACTCTGTTCTCATGTGATACTTGACGAGACATCATGGTGACAACATCACTAAATGGTAACACTAAGTTGCGTATCTCATGCATTAATAATGTAACAAGAGCATGTTGTACAGCAGTCACGCAGCAGCACACTGCCGGTGGTAATCCCAGCGTGTAGTGTTACCACGGCAATCCGAAAGATCCAGCTACGCTCGGTGCTGTCTCTCCACTGTGCACACTGTACAGGGTCAGTCTGCATTGTGCACCGTAAATGCTGTCTCTCTGCTCTGTGTATGCAGTACGACCTGCATGGCACAGTCCTGCGGACACCAGGTTAGGCTTGCGGACACCCCATCAAGTCCCTCATTTTATAATGCTCTATCTCAAGACCCTCTTCTTCAACAGTGCCTTCGGTTTCCTTCCTTCTCCCTTTACCCTCCACTCTCCCCGATCCCGGCCCCCAGCTCAGGTCCAAAACGCCGATTGTCCAGCGCCTTGGGATGTCCTCCTGATGTTAAAGGCACTATACAAATGTCATTTTGTTGTTGTGTTCAGGGAGATCCAACCATTTGGCTGCTGAGGGCCGGATGCCCTATTTGAGAAATGTCTGTGTTTGCCTTCCAGAAACATAACATTTACAGGTTGTGGAGCGAGCGGGTGGGCCAGATGAAATGGAGGGAGGGGTGGGAGGAGGGAGGGGGATGAAATCATCCCGCAGGCCACCTGTTAGACCATCCTGTTCTAAGACATTGCATCAACTTTAAGGTATGGCTTCAGTTTATTTTTAAAATTCCCCTTCCCCTCTCTGTGCCTATTTCAGTATGTGCAACAACAACATCTTGGATTTATATAGTGCCCCTCACTCAGCACTTGACAATGGCGGAGCATGATGCCATGGCACAGAATCCATGACTAAGAGTCTGGTCTATCCATATACACTCATTCAATGACCTCTTTATCCCCCAAGTGAGACAGAGCAACTGAATGGGATCCATGGTTGGATGTGAAGGTGCCTGACTTGGAACCATAGTAGATGGTGGGTGTTTTTCCTGACGGGTGCTGAGCAGAAAAATTATAAATACTGAAGGGAGCCTGTAATGAGATCGCTGTGACAGTATAACAGGGAATTCTAGGATTGCCTCTCGGAGGAATGGCTGCCGAGAGCATCAAAACAGGTAATTGGCAGTTTTTATGATTTTTTTACAATTAATGATTGACTGTTTGGAAATATTGGGGCCGGGGAGGGGGAGGAGGCTTGTTCTGGTTTGAGATCACAAGATCAAAGGATTGGTTCAGATGGAGATAGCGCTCAGGCCCATTTGATCTGGGCCCTTCCTTCCAGAACACCCATTCAACTGTCCTCATTATACGACCAATCTGTTTCTTAAATGAGTCTGTCAGGCCTCAACTACCCTTCCTGGCAAGCCATTCCAGGCTTTCTTTACTTCCAAAGGTACTGGTGTTGAGAACTCCACAAGGTGCTGGCATGGAGACCACCTTCACAAGGTACTGATGTAGATACGATTCTCACAAGATACTAACACAGAGACCATCTTCACAAGGTACTGAAATGTGACTTTGACAAAACAGCATCTAATTCCTGGGCTTTGACTGATTATGGAAACCCAGAAAGTAGAAATTCTCCAGAATCTCACAATGCAGAGGATTTGAGTCTTTGAGAGGCTAACTGCCTGCCACAGTCAAAATTTAACATTGAGAATGGTATTTCAAAGGGATTTTAGGAGGAGATTGTAACAGTTAGTGAGCGAAAGGTGAAGTGCACCATGTTTGGGAGCACGGAATGATCATTTATTGGCAATTAAGCTGGAATAGAACAGCGAACTGCAAGATCATCAGTGGATGGATATAACTGAAGGAAAACAAATGAAAGGTTTGTCAATTACACATGAGTGCAATGACATAGAAATGTGTACATAAAGAAATTGATCTCAATGCAATCATACACGTGAATGTGTGCGTTGCTTTGCGTTAGGGAGTTTAGTGAGTAATGCTTTCACAAAGCAACAGGACTGAAGCAATGACTAAAAAAAGAAGCCTAATCCTGGGTTCAACTGTAACTTGTGAAAGTTACAACAGCAGTAGTGAGATATGGAATGAAGATTGTACCTGAACATTAAATGGGATAAGATTGAAGATTTTACCAGGACATTAATGTCGGATGAGGGCTGAAGTCTGTAGAAGACTATTGAGGGCATTAGGATCAAGACTTGTTTAACAGGGCCAGTATGGAAGATACATAATCCAAAATGATGTCCACAAACTACATTCCAAATTGTACCAAATAATGAAAAGCTCAGAAGTTAAATTTTTACTATTTTGTGACTTATATAGTTTGTTCCTTTATTATTTTGACCATGTTGACTTTGAATGATGATCCTTGTATCAATGGCATAAATGATCACTTGTGGACTATCATCTTTGATGATGTCTTATTTCTGTTGATGGATGTTTCTAAACTGGGTTGAAATTTCTTGATCATTGAAAGCTGTTTGCATATAGCTTCTGCGTTCACCTACAAATGTGAAATTCACAGTAAATATCTATGTAATGCTTTGAGATATTTCAGTGATGTGATAAGACGCTATGTCAGATGCAAAGAATACTATTATGGTGGTTGAATATTTGGATATAACCACTCTGTCTACAGGTAGGTAAACCAGCGAGCCCAGTGTGTGCATGTATTTTTTGTGCCAAATGGAGCACAATTTATATGTCTTTCTGATCTTTGATGTGTAAATATGCGAAAAATATTTCTAAGGTTTCTAGCGCTCACATGTAGTATAAATTTCCATGGGAAATTAGGAAATTGTGTTTGTTGCTCTATTGTCATTACCAAAAGCTGTGTCACTCTGGCGCTGTACTGTATAAGAGCAAATTGTTTATTATGTTTTAGAGACGTGTTAAATGAAAGAATTATTATTATTATGCAATGCTGCTAATATCTCCACTTACTTTATCTCCATGGTTGTTGTAGCATGCACTAAATTCTGACAGTATTGTGGTTTACCATTGGTAGCCATTGATAGTTCCTCAAGTCTTTATGTGACCCAGCAATTACCAGGGTCAGATTCATGATTATTCATTTATCTATATTATGTCACGTAATTTACAAAAACAAACCTGCTGCTAAATGGTTTGATAGATTTTGCATTTTCAGGCTCTTATTCCAAGCCCATAAATGTAACAGATGATTCTCAGTTTATCTTTCCAAGATGTCAAAGTCTCCAGAGAGGCTCTTCCTACAGATTCCTTTTTGAAGTCCAACAACATCATTGGGTGCTCTGTGTTTGTTCAGCATTTTCCAAATCCAGCTTGTTGGGGGAATAGGGATGAATTGTGGATGCTCAAATAAATTTGTTGAATCCAATGAAGACAACACTGACTGGTTCTGCCTCTTGGGTTTCATGTCAGCTGTTAACTTCCTAATACCAGATAGTTGGTATCAGTATCCTAGGAGGAGGGATTGGGCTGCATCTTGCAGTCCCATTCTAATGATGGAAGGATCATATGTGAGGGTGGTATAGTGAGAATTATTATCAAGTAATCTGGTTTTGACCTGCGATTGTTGGATCATTGTCCTGCCATCCAGTTTGTCTTTGACAGAGCTGAGTTGAATTCTGCACGAGTGTAAGTTTATTTGTGCAATTGTCGCAAGTCTGTCAGTTGTGTTAATGTGCAGTTACGTGCTTTCTGATCACATGACGGAATATTCTTATGACATTAATTTATATTGACGTGATGTTAAATGAATCCAAGAGACCTGCTGTTGCATTGCGGTTGGCTTAGGAGGGAATAGTATCATCGACCGACTAAAAATACAAAATGTGCGTATGTGGAGGGGCGAGGGAGTTGGGGGATAATTGAATTCTTGAAATTATATCTTTAGGTGAATACTCATTCCTCTTGGAGCTTGTTTTATTGTTATATTATTATCTGTAGAAGCATTGACGTCACTGAGCCCAATTTGAAAATAAATATCCGCCCACCTCCACCCACACAGCAGAGTGCCACACATGGGAAAGTACAAGAGTACCTGCAATTTGCTCAGCGAACATCACAGCCATGAGCTACTCCCCTCCTTTCGGAAACTAGATATTTGTGTAGATATTAATCTTGTAAATTGAAGAAACCCAATGATTATTTTCTTATTCCTTTATCACACTGTTCGCACCAAACCAACTCCGAATTGTATTGGTCAGGTAGGAGAGGTCTCCATCTAAACCAACTCAGAACTGGCACTTGCACAGTTTTAGAATTTTGCTCTAAACTATAGAAACTGGAAACAACCCAAATAAGTTTGATATGTTTTCAAATCATTGTTTGACTGTCTATGGGGAAAATTGTATTTTCCAATTTTTATTCGATACTGCTTTAGCAATTAATCTTGAGCTCGGTTATTTTTTCATGGTTTAAGTAGGCTTAAAACGATTCAACAACAATTTGCAATTATATATACATTGGCTGGTGAATTGGCAATCTAAAAATTTTTCCAGCAATATCAACAACTTGCATTCATACAGCAACTCAGGCAGGATAGCAACTCCAATCTCTGTTCATTGCTGTAGTCGGACATCAACTAAGGGAGAAAAGGGAGGGAGAGATGTCCCGGTTGAAGAAGTAGATCTGGAAGCCTAAAGGTTGTGGAACACCTTACTGCAAGGGAATATTGAAGTCAAGGCAGTGACATTTAAAAGAGAATTAAATGAATACTTACTGAATGAGGGATATAAAGGGAATGGGGGAAAGAGCAGGAATATATGATAAATGGCTCCAGTGGGGGTACAGCACAGCAAAGCCACAGTGGATTGACTGGTCACATCGTCTGCTGAAATTTCTATGCAAGTCAAGTTGTCGAAAAAAATGGGCGTAAGCAACAACTTCAATTTATATAGCGCCTTTCATGCGGAGTAGCGTCCTGGAGCGCTTCGCGAAGATACATTAACAGTGCTCAGATATAGAAGTCAAAGAAGATTTTTCACGAATAGATATGATAATGAACAGTTGGTAATTAACTTGTCTGCAATAAGGAACACAATTCAACTGGAAAAAATGACCGCAATATTTTGTTCTTTACTTGGCAATATGGATTTCTTTCTCACCTGTTCCTGTTGCGTAACAATCCAACTCGGGTAATTGGAACTCAGAACTGCTGACAACACTTGTGATGTAGAGTGGACCTCCTCATTTTCTCCAAAGTGTTTGATGGAACATCTCCTCTTGGATATATTGCTTAGGTGGGACATCCCATTTTGGACGAGACATGAATGTTGAACGTATCATCTTGGATGAGGCACGAGCTGCTGATCTGTCTTGTCTTGTTAGGAGCACTAAACAAGGCAGTGAATTTAGGAGCAAAAGTGATCTTGGAGTATTTTATTCCACCGATTTGCATTGTTTCAGCAAAGAATAATCCAGCGCTACTCTCGAAGGCATTCAGAAGGCACCATCCAATCCAGCTACCCTTCTGCCTGTGTCTCTCCTCATGTCAAGAGAAGTATTATTTCTCGAGTCAAAAGAGAAAAACTGAGGAATGAAAACAACAATTGAAACATGTTTGAGGGATATTAATGACAATCTAACCAAAGGCTGTTTTCTAAGGGACTCCTATGTTCTCTTGAGTTACAGATTCTCAGAGAATCCATTATCAACTTTGATCTTGATTTTACATAGTCTGAAGCCCCAGCTGAGGTCATTGTGTAGGTGCTACTTTTGCCTAAAGCATACTGGATCAACATTGCAATTCACATAGTGATGCTGTCTGTTTTTGAGAATGTTGGCTGTTCGTCTATCAGTCCATTTGTCTCTTCGTCTGCCCACGTCTGTCTGTCTGTCTGTCTTGTCTGCCAGTCTTTCTGAATGTGAAATCTCTTTTGAACGAATTACATTTTTTGTCACAAATGTTGACAAATATCATTTGTATTCGCAAATGTGACTCTTTGATTCCGCAGTTCAAAGGTCAAAATGGCAAGCCCTAGAGATTCTTTTTTCTTTTTTTTTGCTCTAAATAATCTTGAAAACAGAAAGGATTTAAGTGACGAGGGTCATTACAGGAGGAACCATGCAATTACTCCGTGCAGGAAATAGTGACTAGACTATAGACGGAATCAATTTGAGTTATTCATTTGAACACTTGGCTTTTATGATCACGATTCTTAAGCTATCTCAAACAGATGTTCAAAACACAAACACTTCCATTTCTGATCAAAAGATGGATGGGGAGGAAAAGATTTAATAGCAGTTCAAAGGCTTTTTGCATCTTTTTCATTTTAACAACCGTGTTGAGATATCATTTGATTTCCACCGATTATTTTGATCCCAGCAGTTTTTGTTTGACTTCATTTGATTTCCTAAAACGCTTTTGGAAAATCATACAATAAACCACAAAGTGTATCAGTGACCAGCGCACTAGATACAGGAACCTTCATACATTTTCATATCCAAACCTGAGTCACGTTCATTAGATTCACTGCTCTTTCACAAATCTTAGCTTGTGGTGAAACATTCCCTTTGATTCTACTGTCAGGGCTCCTCAAGAGATAGATTGTCTTTTTCTTTAAGACATTTATCAACAAGGGAGTGACAGATCTACTAATGGTTAATCAGTTCCTGTCCAAACTCAGAGAGNAAAAAATGGGCCAATTTACCAAGGAGATGTGGCAAGCTGGTTACCTGTAGCATAGAGGTCTGCTTGCCACGCAGACAAAGCTCGATTATAAATAGTTACGACTGAGAGGTAAAGTCAATAACATCAAATATATCTGTTCTAGGATAGAAAAAATGGTAGAGCAGAGCCTGACCCTAAAACGAAAGCATCTTTTAGATCGCTCACTTCAACACTGACCTCCAGCTTCAAGAGACGTAGGTCTTCCAAAGACACGGTAAGAGGAATTGGGACTCCTTTCACCATGCCATGAGTCCATTAGCCCAAAGCTCATTCAGTACTATTACATATCCACCTCACCACATGCCCATATGAAACAGCTACATTGCATTGTTAACACTGGGCAAGGGAGAGAGGGGCACTTTGGAAAATCAAGGGGTGTTGATGACATCCTTGATGAATGTTTATGTCTGGCCCTTGCTCTCATTCCCATTGTCAGTTACTCCAGTCTCAAACCTTCTAAAAGGGCGTATCTTGCGTTTACTGTAGATTCATTCATGATGACGCCATTGAGTTGACCACCCACGACCACTGCACCAGCCCAGGGATTTTTCAAAGGTTATTTCTGAAGCATTATACTTCACCCAAAATATTATCATGTCTTTTACCATGAACATGGTCATATTTTTCACCATTCCAAAGATTCATCACCCTCCTTCACCATTCGCAAGGCTCATGTTCTATCAACTGCTTTTTGATGGTGGTGCTGATGAGGATGAAATTGGTAAATTACCTGAATGGTGTGGCCTTTTTTTTTTGATACATTTGTTACTTGTGATGATGTAATGCTTTGATGGATGCTTTGACTTTCTCTTTTTCTCTGCAGACCCTTTTTTTCCTTCTTTTCTTTTTTAGATGTATTTTATTCTTGATCACTTTTACCAAGTTCTTGCTGAAAAATCACCTTTATCTTGACTGCAAGGTCACATTCTCAGCTGCAAAGTTTATTATTTTCATCGTGACATCTTTGTTTTCACCTTCTACTTTGGATTTATTTGTTATGGATTCCGTAATTTTGTTGTTGTTTGGGTTGCTGGTCTTGCTGCAGTCCCGGACAGAAGCACTGATTCATAATTTGTTTACAAATAGGAATATTTGCACCCATAATGAATGCACAGCCATGTAAAAGAAAGTTGGACACTCACTGAACTCACTCCCTTTATCAGTAAAGGAGTTGCACACATTTAGAAAAAATGACATATCATTCAGGAATTGACACTACAGCCCTAGTCGTTGGTCAATTGATCATATTTAAAACTTGGACATTTCCAGTAAAGTTTGGTAGTTCAGCAGTGAGGTATTGTATTAGTCTTTGTCCTTCATGCTAAATAATGGCAAATACGAGTTTATTAAGATCTAATTTCAAACTTTAGAAATATAATTGAGTAGTGCAAGTGCACTTGAATACTAATTTTAAGTCTTTCATGCTCTGCAATCCTGATAGCGTTCCATTAGCAGGATTCACGGGTAGGAGTTGCTCTACCCACTTTCCATCAGTAATAGAGCTCGCTGGCTATTAATAGGCAAGAGCACTTCAAATGTATTGAAGCACGAGCAAGGCTTATGAGTATATTTCATGATGTTGATTTTCCAAACTATTCTTGAACAACCACTACATCCCACATTCTCAACAATATACCCGTTCTGAAAAGTTAATTCATTTTGTGCATTTTTTTTTAATGAAAGCCTTTGACTAACATGCATTTTCTTATTCCAAATACAGGGCCTAAGTTTTGTACTGTTTCCTTACCACTGAATACCATCTTATTTAGGAGCCCGTGTCTTATATGGCTGTCTCCATCATTTCTGTACTGACATCTTAACATTATTGTGGTTCTAAAATGTTATCCTCATTTCCATTTTTTGAATTTAGCTGGAATGACCCATCAGAAAGACTGAGTTAACAACTCCCTCTCCCATTCCCTCTCTCTCTCTCTTTGCTGTTCTGCTTAATTGTATACCATGTCATCGTCTACAGATCTTGTTTGTTAGAACCTCAATGTAAAGAAGCACTTTTCTTTCCAAAGAAAATAAAATGCAAAAACGACCTGTCTTGTCTGTCTGATTTATGTTCCTCGTTCTTCTCTATAAAAATCAAGGGATCTCATCTTCAACAAACTTCAGCACTACCTCATGTGTGCCTCCTTCTACCTGCTCCATTGTGCAACGTCTGCTTGTCAGCCATCATTTCTCAGATCCAACCACTTTGGAATCTCTCAAGAAGCCAGAATCTTTTTTTGTGCAGTAGATTTTATTCTGATGCTCTGACGAGAAACCATTTCTTTTTCTCCTTGCTTTCAGACTGAACAGTGATGCTTCTTCCTGCTTCTTCTTTAGATTAGAAGGTAGACTCCCCAAGCAATGACAGTGAATGCATACCATATGCGAACAGCTACTGCATCTCAGAACCATTTCAAAGACCAGCAGGCTAGGCGTGATTAAAAAATTGTATTCGTAAAATCGTAACTTAAAAAGGTTGTTTTTTCTTCTTCAAATTAAGTCTGACATGAATTAAAGTACAAGTCAACTATATTTTTCATGCGGTTGCTTACAAAATGGTTACCTTAACATGGATGATACTTATAATTAAAGCAGTCTTGATTTAATATTGGAAGGGATGTTGATGCAATAAGATACAGTTCACATTTCAAAACAAATGCAGTGATTAAAACCATTGAGTACTTACTTGTGCAACATTGGGACCGTTGTAATGTCTTGAAAGGCAAAAGTATTGTTAAATGAGAAATTTGGTCAGCCATAATATTAACAATTTATATTTTATATTATTTTGCATTGATATCAATCCAGGCAATAATTGTTCATCCACCATCATTTTACTATATAAAATAAATCTTATTAAAACACATCATTTTAATAAGTATGATGAATTAAATACGAGGATTATAATTGTATAATTCAAAGAATAAAGCTGCCACACAAGCATTTTACATTATATGAAAAAAAATTAATGATAGCAAAACGCAGCACCTTGAAATCAATTCAGTGACTAATAAAGATGGAATGAATTGCAGTGTGTTTGCTTTGAGTGAGGGATTAGTCGAATCTGAAAGGTCAGTATAAAACTGAGAAGAGGCAGCATTTATAAAAGCAGTAATGCAGATTGATAATCATATAACAGAGTGCCCCTTTCTCCATTGGCAGTGTGTTTGGAAAATGGTGTGTAGTTAAATGCATTGCAAACATTTATACGTATACCACCCTTGAGTGTTTGAAAGGGTGGAATTAAATCTGAAAGCCTTCCACTCTAAGAAGGAAGCTTCTTTAGAATTGGATAGTGCTCTGCAGAGTAATGCAGTAATACATTTTTTGTCTGTTTCTTTCTGGTACATTTATTTCACTGACTAATCGCTGTTGCTTGTCCAGTTGCAGTAGAGTATTATTAGTGGTGTCACTTGGTGAAGCTTGCAGTAGCCGCATTTTTTAAGGCCCAATTTTGATACTGTTGGCACCGATTCCATCTCTCAAGTTACGTTGGCCCTGGACTATCTTCATGGCCTCAACCCAGACTGCCCTGCCACTTGACTCTTTTTTTTACATCATTTTCAAGTTACTCCCGAGGAATTAAACAAAGACAGGTCGAGAATGCAAGTGGGTGAATGGCCCATGAGCTTGTTCATGTTCAAAGCCATGTTGGTTCTCATTATGTAATTAACCAAAGAAAAAAAATCAGAAGTGTCTGTAATTCTGAAATCTTGCACGATAGTTAGTTGTAAATGAAGTGCATTTGTATGAATTTACTCATGGTTAGCCCATGGGTTATTAGCCCAATCTGCATTTTAGACCCCAGTGACCCTATCAGTTTTAGGTTATTGCGAATTGTGACACGATGTAGGTTTATCTATGGTCCATTTGGCTCAGAATTACTAAACTGCATGATCCAAAACTTGACTTCATTGTAAAGGGCACTTTAAACAATCACTTACTGCAAATGTAAAACAGCTAGAGAATTGAGAACATTTTTATTGGTACAATTGAAACAGTTCTCTTTTATTTAGCTCTTCTTGGATAAGACTGTCAATTAACATGGCTAAATTCAGTCATTTCTCAATCCACAATGGGATTGGAAAATGTCCTTGTTTAGCAAAAATTAAACTGAGATTTTACAATGGACTGGGACAAAGCAACAACTCAAATGCAGTTTGGGATTTTACAAGACAAGTGTCTCAGGAACTGTTTACCTGAGGCGTTGAGCTCTCACCATTTCTTAGTAGCTTTTAAACTATTAGTCAGGCACCAACATGACAAAGAATACCCCTCTCCTAACTAAGAAACAGCATCCATTATGTGCTACAAAAAAGTTAGAGGGAGCATTGTGCAAAATATTGCTCAATGCTATTGATAACTACAGTAAAAATCAGATCAGTTTAAGCTAAATAACATTAAGATTAATTTAATCTAATTCATCCGGTTAAGATTAATTTAATCTAATGTACTGAAACCATTCATTCCTGAAAAATCAACTGCCCAATTCAGATGCATTTTCTGGGCCTTAAATTGAGTTCGTTTTGTTGGGACTCTGCTGACCCCCATTGTTTCTCCCTATGAACTTGTCCTGGCTGCTGATCATGCAGTGCAGATGCAGTATTATTTCATGATCGCCGTGAGTCAGTGAGATGGTGAGCAGAATAACCTGCAGTGAAACAGTCATGGAAAATTCAAGCAGGTATAGGCAGCAACAGAATTGGCGTAGCTTGGGGTGAGACCAAGTATAGATGTCCACAAAAGAATATGGTAAAGTGAGCTAATCGGACGGAAAGGTTAGGCAAAGATGGTGCTGTATGTTTTTTCTTTAATTCCTTTTGATAATTTAACTAAAAGTTAGTAGTATTGCTTGAAAGAACTAAGAAGGTTGAGTGTTTGGCTGCAATCCATGGGCGCAAATTCGAGGATAACGATATGTTAGATGTAATTTAATGTAATGTACACCCTTACGGTACTCAGTCTGTAGAACATCCATGCTGGACTTGAAATAATTTTGCAGGATTGCCTGACCAATGCATTATTTAAGCAAAGCATCCCAGTTGCAGGGATGAATAATAATGAACAGTGAAGATGTTAACATTTGTACAAAACCAGGGAAATATTTAATTGATCAAATATTGTTTTTACTGAATCAAGAACATTACAATGTTGATGCAAATATATTTCAATTCAAGTTCTGATTTCCTCTGATTGAAATCCTAGTACAAGTACAATATAACATTTGGTCACAAACCGATTATGCGTTCAGCAATACAAAAAAAATCCTAAGTTATAAGTTGTTTAAATTGTCACTGAGAATCCCTTGAGGGGTAACGTGGTTACATTCAGATAGGCAGATGTTTGGAACAAAGAACTTGCTGATCTTTCATATAGTTAATGTATTCATCCAATGCTGGCTCTAACTTCTGTCTCTGTTTCTCTTTTATTTTGCAGCAGTATCACCCTACTGATATAAGTGGGCAGCTGAACCTTTCAGACCCTTCGGTTAGCACAGTGGTGTGATTTTGCCCAAAACACTGATGTCTAAACTCCAGAAAGATATTTAAAAAATGCAAGATTAATTGTGCAACAAGAGCAAGCCCTTAGAACACCAGCAATTGCAAGAGTGAAAGAGAGGACTGTATAAATCTACTGACATTGGAAATGCAACNAAAAAACATCAGTAGTAGTTGTTCAGTGAACTTTCAGTGTTAAAGGTACTCACCCAAACCATCAGTGTTATTCACCCATCATCAGTCATAAAGAAAATCTAGTGTTAGTTTCTCACCAAATAAACAGTGTTATAAGTTGCCCATCATACCATTAGGGGTTTTTAGATGGCAGTGATTTTTCACGCTGCCCTTTCATTTCTGGTCACTTCTGGTTTTCGAATCCAATCCAAACTCCAATGGAATGTTGAACATATTGGTCTTAAGGGAAATTAGTTTGAATAGTCTCAACCCAGTTCCTCTTATTCACGGAACTGGACTCACGGCACAAACGCATCCAACATTTCAATTTAAATTGGCAATGTCATTCAGAGTGACCAGAGACAGCTGTGTGGGAAATGGAAACATTTACTGTGCCAATTAGTTAGTGCTCTTCTGAGGAACGCTGTTGGATTAGTTACTGAATACCTGTGATTTTCATGCCAAATCTTTTAATATATATCAAAACATAGAATCATTTGTTGCATTGATGTCACAGTTTATCATCATAAACACAGAATCATTTATTTATGCATTGACGTCACTGATTACCTGTGTCCAACCCTCTCTGTAAGGCTTGTAAGACTTATCCTAGATAATAGTGTGTATACAAGCAAATAAAGTTGCCAAACTCCAGTCACTTCCCAAATGTAGGGTGCCATTGTACATAGAGACAGTTTATTCAGCATATGATCTAACAAATATACACAACTGTGTATTCACAATGGCATAACGTGTTTCAGAGTCACTCTGGAGTGTCTGTGTGCTGCTAATATAACTTGGATTGCTGGATTGACGAGGAATTGTTAATATGCATCAGGCATATCAATGTAACAAGGACATTACTGTGTACTTGGGCGTGTTCTGGACCTGACATTGGGTTCTCATAATGGAAAATTTAATTCTCCAACTAGAACATCCCTCAGCTGGAGAAGCACAACACCTCACCAAAACAATTGAAGGGACAAATTGTGTATTCACCAGTGTTAATTCATCAGCAATCTATCAATATTGATGCTGATCACCAATCAGTGTTAAAGTTACTTGCCAAACCTTTGGTTAATTTACTTACTATCTCTGCCAGCTCACAAGTTATACAGCAAATCTCAGCAAGAGCAACTCACTTAAAATCCCTCTTCCGTTGTTAAGTAAACTTTTCCCTGTTAACCTTTTTAATTAATAATTTATTCTGACAGCCCCTATTTTACAAAGGAACAGGATCTGTACAGATTATTACTGCTATTTTTATTAATATTATTATTTGAGAGTTCAAGCCATTCCACCTCATCTCTACAGCGCTTGATAATCTTGGAGAATCTATTTCTTATTCACATATCTTCACTGATCTTCAAGTTACTGAGTATATATACTGTGTCTGGCATTTATGTGAAATCTGCAGTGCACTGTGTAATACTACTGATAGTATGATTTGCATTGATTTGTTTGTAGTGTCTCACTGTTGGCAATACTATTCCCTTACCCAATGGAACAAATTATCCTTCAATATCTGAATTCCTCTTAATATCTTAGATTATCTTTAAACTCTCAATGAATGAGATGGGAAACTATTGGTAACAATAGATTCTCTTCACACTATCTTTTGTCTCATAGAATCAAAAGAATTTTACAGCACAGAAGGAGGCCATTCATCGTGTCTGTGCCGGCTCTTTGGAAAGAGCTATCCAATTCAATCCCACTCCCCCGCTCTCTCCCCAAAGCCCTTCAAACTTGTCCTCCCCAAATAATTATCTACTTCTCTCTTAAAAGTTGTTATCGAATCGGCTTCTTTCAGGCAATGCATTCCCGATCTGAACAACTCACTGTGTGAAAAAATTTCTCACCTCCCGTTTCTTTTAACAACTATGTTAAATCGATGCCCTCGGGTTACCGACCCAGTGGAAATAGTTTCTCCTTGTTCACCCTATCGAATCCCCTCATAATTTTGAAAACTTCTATTAAGTCTCCTCTTAACCTTCTCTGCTCCAAGGAGAATAATCCCAGCTTCTCCTGATAACTGAAGTCCTTCATTCCTGGTGCCATCCTGGTCAATCTCCTTTGCAGCCTCTCCAATGCCTTGACATCCTTCCTAAAGTGTGGAGCCCAGAACTGAACACAGTCTCTCGCTGAGGCCTAACCAGTGTTTTATCAAGTTTCATCATAACTTCCTGACTTTTGTATTGTATGTCCCTATTTATGAAGCCTAGTATCCCGTATGCTTTTTTAACAGCTTTATCTACCTGTCCGGCCACCTTCAAAGATTTATTTATATGAACCCCCAGGTCTCTCTGTTCCTTCACCCCCTCTAAGATTGTACCATCAGCTTATATTGCCTCTCCTCATCTCTTCCTCTCAAATGCATCACTTTGCATTTCTCCACATTAAATTTCATCTGCTATGTGTCTGCTCATTTTACCAATCTGTCTATCTCCATTTGCAGTCTACTATCCTCCTCGGTTTACTACTTTCCTCGCTTAGTATCATCTGCAAACTTGGAAATTGTACTCCCTATACCCAAGTCCAGGTCATTTATATAGATCAAAAACTCATGGGGAAATATGAATTTTGTCAGCATTGCTTTGATACAGTTAATGGTAATGAAATCAAGAGACAAAATTAAATTGTCTGATAGATGCAATAATGGTCCTTTTGATTCACTCCCACCTAATGTCACGAACAAACACGAACCTTCCTGCACTACTGTAACAGTGGCACTTTTTCCACAGAGCAACTGAAGTTGTTGTCACCAGTGACAGTTGCCGTGCATTCACTGAATAGTCCTTGTAACATGAATGCAACTCGTGATGTAATCGATCTTTTAAAAATCAAGTTGTTGTACATTCCAGATATTATGTACAATATTTATATACAATCAGCGTATCTAATGTTATTGCAGAGCAGTTTGAAGGTAACCTTTGCATTGCTAAAGCAGTGAGGTGGTGCCTTGTTACTTAAAGTAGCAGTTAGGTGGTAACAGTTATTAAGTCATGATGTGATAATAACCCTCTTATTTCACAACATTGCCATGGTTAACTGTTATTACAGAGCAGTAAAGTATAACTGTACTTTGAATGGTTAACCTGCATTGAACTTAGAAATGCAGTTTAAAATTTTCACTGTATAGGATGTGTTTTCAAATGGTTCTGCTAAATTGGACCTCCGAGGAATAGTGGAAAGGTTTCCTAAAGCCATGTGAGTCATCCAGGATCAAACTGTGAGTTAGGTTTGCAGTAAAGAAGGAAGGCGCCTAAAAGGATCAAGGAATTTCCTTTGCAGGAATCTGAGGTGGGGGAGTGGGTATTTTCAGTTCGAGACCTGAGACTTCTTGTACAATGCAACATTTATTTAATGAAGAGCTTACAACACCTAAGTACGTCACCTGCAGAAAACCTCAAATCACATTACGGTCTTATAATTCAATGACTGGCTCACGACTTCTTCTAAAGAAATTCCATGTTTTCCATCCATACATGTTTTCAAAGAGCTCAAATTCAAACCGCAGGGCAGAGAAACTTATTGGAGGAAAAAACAATCAAAGAGGATGAGAAATCAGATGAAAACAGTTGAAAAGAATGAACGAGTCCAAACACAACAAAGGCATTGGAAAATATTTCAAGAATGTTTTCTCAAGACTAAATTTTGTTTTCTAATGTTTTACATGTATCAGTAAAAATGTAATTGGACAGGAGAAAATGGCTATATGTTCTGTGACTTTACCTTGAGGTAGTTGATAACCATGCAAATATTTTCAATGGTTCTCATACACAAATTAAATCTGTTTCTCATTCTTGCTTCTACACTATCTCTCGAAAGCCACAGAAATACGTTTGTTCTGACTTACAAACGAGAAATAGAGGGAGTGTTTTGAAAGAGACATCCAGAGCCATTGCACATGTTTTATTCTTATCTGAATTGCTATAGAAACCTTTAAAATATTTGTGATCATGTAAGTTGTTCCCATTTTTAAAGTATCTTGTTAAATCATTTTACAAAATCTTAATTTCTATGGTAGGTATTGTTAAGTGGGAATTATAGACATATCACGCCTCTTTCTTTAGGAATAGCCTCATAATATCATTTGCCAATCGCATTAATCACGATTAAGCACTGGAACAAATATTGTATGACTCTCAGTCCTAATAGAATGACATTTACCTTCAATTTTAGTCACTCTGGTTAAGGGCAGATATACTGTATTGAAAATAGAATGTTTGAGAAAATCTGAAATAAAATTAATTTCAAAGGGTGGTTGGCACTTTGGTGTAGTTTTCAACAGTGAAACGTTTTCAGACTCAGATATATTTTGTGTCTTTTTTACAAAATTCCTTCCTCCCCACTCCCAGCTGCTCTGCTTTTTAAATTATATTTCACAATCCCAATCAACTAATTAGTAAGTTACAGGTCAGATCAGGGCAGTACAAATACAACTGTTTCGCTTTGGTTTATTGAATATGAATGCTGAGCCAGCTATGAATGCATCTCTGGGACTTGATGACAGTAACTGAGGTCAGGAATGGTTTCGGGCAGGAACAAATCTCTTCTGTGAAGACTGGTTTATTAATGGGGCAGGGGCCGGAAGGAGGGATGCAGCTGAGGACAGAGTGAAGAGTGGGCCAAGGGAAACAGAAAGATTTGAGGGGAGGTGCTAATGAGAGGTAGGGCATTAGAGGAACTCAATGTCAATTAGACATTGTTGTAGAACATTTTGAAGTTTTCAAAATAAATGTGGTCATTATTTGTTAGCATCACGGAATCTCGAAGGAACCTGGCCTTTGCCATCCTTATCAATGAAACATCTTCCTCTTGCAAAGCTTCACTGGGTTCATCTGAAAAGAGACAGCAATATTTGGACAAACATTGGTCATTCAATGGCTGCGCTGAAAGGTATGTTTTGACAAGTTTATCAACCGGATGAATGCACGTTTTAGCAACATTACCCTTAAGATTGATAAATACGACATTTGGAATACAATAAAGAGATTGCTGTAACTTACAGAATACTGATCACAGTAACACATGACACAGTGACAGTCTTGTGATTTTTCTTGAATGTCTCAGAAAATGAACATTCTTGCACACCTGTACTAAATATAGTATTCATGGAATTTTAAATGAAAAAAACAATTAATTCCATGCAATTTCGTTGAATTGCTTCACGGCTTCACTTTAACAGCTACTTGAAATAACAGAGTGGCATAGTATGTGTTACACTAAGACCACCTGGTGTGCTAAAAATATAAATTTTCCATCTTTTAATGTCCAAAAGCAATCCCCTTAACTTTCACATCAAGTGGAATTTCAGCCCTATTACATACTAACCTGGACATACTGGAAGGCACTTAGAGCAGTCTGTGCCATTATCCTTATTTTCACATGCTGTTCTGCAGTCCCTCACGAGAACACCACAGACTGAAAAAGAGAGCAGCGAATAAAGATGCTGTACAATCAAAATGCTTTTGAGACGTTCTCCCAACATGAAAGGCTTTATAAATGTAAAATTATTGTTGCTGATGTACACAGTACCACCGTCTTATCACTTGACACTTATCCACAGAATAAAGAGTTTCATCTATAAAGATCCCAACTTTTGGCAGTACTGCCCTTTTACATGGTGCAAATTTTAATTTATGGGCAATTGAGATGTTTCAATTCACAGACTATATTGTAGACTATATTGACTGTGTACTTTGTGGGCAAAATGGAGCACTGGTAAGCGGGGAATCTGATAGGGAATATAGCAAATGCCACAATGAGGTGAATGATCAATTAATATTTTTTTCTGTGATAACCGTTGGACACAGGAGAAATATTGCTTGGGTGCCAAGAGAAGCTAATTCTAAATTCTTTTTGTCTGTGTATAAATTAGTCCGTATGACTCCTATCCATTCAGCTGATCATCATGAATGGCGCTTATATAAACCAGGGTAATAAGGTTGTAATCATACCACGTGATAATGAAGTCTCTGCAAAACCAGTACAGTCACAATCAGGCACATGTGGATCATCAGAATTACACCGAGGTCCAATAGATCCCGAACTGCACACTGAGAAGAAATCAGATGTAATTTAGGAAAACTAATTGAAAACAGTAAAATTGATCTGAGTTTTGAAAAGAATGCCTAGGGCTAGAAAAACACTTTACATAAAAATTGGTTATTCCTTACATGTCTTAAGGTAGATGGTTGTTTGAGGTTTTGACATTAATTTGACCCTGGAATTGAGGAGATAAAAAGTACTTCCGTCTGAAGACCCCAGTATGGCCATGCAGCTAAAACCTTCGATTAAGCATCTAGATTTTGCAAGATCCAGGGACGTTTCTGAAGGATATGTATATGGAGGGCTGCCTGCTATTCCCCTCCCTTTCTGTTCCTCAAACCAGTCCATCACTACAAGAGATGGGAAAAAAAAGGTAACTATAATTGAATTATCCACAAAATCAGGAATTGATTGAAGGTAAGGGTAATTGTTACTAAAAATAATAAAAATATCAGATTTCGTATCAAAATATCAATAAGCTGAAGTACAAAGTTGAGCAGCCAATGATAATAATACTCCTTGCATTTGATATAGCACTTAATCATGTCTTCGAGACGTCTCAAAGTGGTTTACAGGATATACTGTCAAGTGAATTGACTATATTTTGTGGGTGAAACGCGGCAACCAACTGCACACAGCAGTGTCGTGGATTGAGTGACCAATTTTTATTTTATTTCTTTGAAGGAATTATTACCCCTGGAAAAGCGATTTGCCAATTGACTAACAGCTGGATTCCTACTTACTTCTAGATAAACAGAGGTGTGTATGTGTGTGAGTAAGGTCTCTCACTTGAAGGTGAGTGCTCTAACCACTGAGCTACAGGAATTACACTACACGTATTATCCCATATAGCTCAGACATCAACTGAACAAAATACAGTCAAAATACAGTCAATTCACTTTACAGTATATCCTGTGAAGCGCTTTGAAAAGTCTCATATCAAATGGAAGTACTATATCAAATGCAAGGATTATTATTATCATTATTATCTATAGTGTGCACCTCCCAAAGCTAAGGCGATGTCCTGAAAAACGTATGTGCATTGGTGAAGCAGGTTGATTCATCAGTGACGTAATAAGATGGTTATACCAGCCACTGGTATTAGTTAGCAGAACCTTTCCAAAACACTCAGTAAAGTTCACCTTTTATAATATGCAATAGTAAATAGGAGTTAGTATCCATTGGATCATGACAATAATGTATGAATAACTGATAGTTTGGTGCAATTGTTGAGCAATTTGATGGGCATGAAATCAAGTCAAAGATAATCAGACATCCTTCAAAAGTATTGCGTGGACCATGTAAGATAGTAAACCATGTAGATGGGTAAGCGTATAGGCAAATTAAATAATGTCCACATTTAAAGTGAAAATTAGGAGGGAGATTATTTATAAGCTTCTACTAAGTATATGTATACAAAATACAGAAATTTTAAAAAGAAGTTATCAGGGGAGCCTAGAGAGAACAGATGCAAAATAAAGCCAAAACTTTGTTTCAATATTATAATAAAATTAAATAATCCTTGCATTTGATATCCTTGCTTTTGACAAGTCAGTATAATAAGAGGCCTGAAAGGGAAATTATAACCTTAGGAAACATAAAAGATGTGGAACATGGTAGTGGAAACATTTCAAAAGAAAATTAAACAATGAATAAAGACACCTAACATTTTAAATTGTACATTGATTTTACATGAAATCTAACTGATCGAGCAACAGTTTATTTCAGAGACTCATTTACACAAAACAACAGGAAAAACCTATTGCTCTGCCGCTAGCATATTTATAACAGAGTTTCAATGAGTCTCAATGCCCCACACTTACTCTTTTTTGATTTGCAAATGAATTTATTTTTTTTGGAGCACAGCGAGTCCTTTAACAGTCCACTCGTTATATCCAGCTCCACACAGTCCTTCAGGCTTCCGTCCAAAATGTCATCGCGCAAGAATCTATCAAGAATAAAGGAACATGGATCAAACTAAAACATTGGAATTCATTCAAATTGCTAACTATACTTGATGGGTTCCAAACATTTTGAAAGCCTAATAAAACTCATGCCAAGCCTTGTTATATACACCAAGTGTAGCTGACATTATTGCATATCTATATGACCTACAAATACATTATACACTATATAAAGCGCACATTGATTACCAAATTGCTACTTAGCTTCACCATTTTACTAGCATCACAAGATAACAAGCATCAACCTGAAAATATATATTTGATCCCGGGTGATCCATGTTTTGGATCAAAAAGCATAGACCTAGTCAGTGTAATACGAGTGTTACAATGGGCCTGCATAAACAATGGCTACTGGTCCTGCTTTGGGGTTTCCAAATAACCACTGATGTCACGCGTGCTAGGACCAGCTTCCTGCACATGAAGCTAGATGATCAGCCAAAAGCTCCCGAGTCTCTGGAGACCAAATTGAAAGGAGACAAAATTGATGGGAGAGAAAAATATAAAACAGAAAATAGAGAAATAAAGTGTAGACGAAACTTACGATTTAATGTCAGCCAACAGAGGTTTGTCTATTGTCCATTGAAAATCAGATTCCTGAGTACGATCATTGAGTCCAGTCCAATAGATTCCATCAAGTACAGTACCAAGCCAAATCTGTCACAAAATGAGCACTTATAGTCACTCCAATATATCCTAATATAAATGATTTCACTTCAATTTTTTGAAAAAGAAATGAACATTAGAAACAAAATGACATAAGGCGCTAAATCAAATGCAAGGATTATTATTATTCGAATGTAACACTGGCACGTCTTCAAATTTAAGATGACACATACGTCAACAAGAAGGGAAATGAGGGGTATGAGAGAGGAGATGAAAAGGAGCAGAGGCTGACATAGAGTATAGACACTGGCACAAGCCAACTGCATCATAATCCGTGCTGTATATATTAATGTATTTCTATGTAAGTTCACAGAAAATTCTTCAATTTAGTCTAAATTTTCGAAGCAGGTCTTCCACAGTTCTAAACAAGAAACCGCCTTCCAGATAAAAACTCAACAAAATTTCCACAGCCCTTCCTCAGGTTAAATTTGAAGACAGAACAGTCTTGCGGGCCAGACTGGGTGGACTTTCGGGCCGATAAATATACTAGTATTTCACCCATGGCACTTTACCATTACCTTTTCATCCACACTCTCCAGGTACAACAGTTCAGTTCCTTGATAGGCTCTGCAGAATTTTAGTGCTTCATCCCAAGTATCTGGTAAAGATGCATCCCAAAAGTAGCAGTTGTCATTCCAGGCTCGCCAGCCATTTTCTGTGGGGCAGCTTAAAGTACCTGCGGCTGCAAGGAAAAAGGGATAACAGGAACAGGTTTGGCATTATATCATTTAAAAAATCCTTACGTTTGACAGAACACCTCGTGCGTCAGGAGGACGGACGTCTCAAAGCGCTTCACGGAATATTACAGCCACCGTAAATTGGAGTGACGGTGTGTTTTGAAGGCAAACAATGGACAAACAGCCATGACGGGCACGGCCGGAGCGCTGGCTCCATTCCGACATTCCTTTGCCGAACGTGTCGCTTTGGAACAATTGGAGACCCTCCATTCCCCACCCCCCCCCCTCCACACACTCACCCCCAACCCCCCATAGGGGCCATTTCCTCCTCCTTCACTCTCTCCCCCTCCCTCGCCCCCCACTCTCCCCCCCCCCCAGTCCCACCCCCACTCTCTCCCCCTCCCTCGCCCCCCACTCTCTCCCCCTCCCTCGCCCCCCACTCTCTCCCCCTCTTCCCCCCCACTCTCTCCCCCTCCTTCCCCCCACTCTCTCCCCCCCAGTCCCACCCCCACCCTCTCCCCCTCCCTCGCCCCTCCACTCTCTCCCTCCACCCCACTCCCTCCCCCCCACTCTCCCCCTCCCTCGCCCCTCCACTCTCTCCCCCTCCTTCCCCCCCCACTCTCCCCCTCCCTCCCCCCCACTCTCCCCCTCCTTCCCCCCCACTCTCCCCCTCCTTCCCCCCCACTCTCCCCCTCCTCCCCCCTCCTTCCCCCCCACTCTCCCCCTCCCTCCCCCCCACTCTCCCCCTCCCTCCCCCCCCACTCTCCCCCTCCCTCCCCCCCCCACTCTCCCCCTCCCTCCCCCCCCACTCTCCCCCTCCCTCCCCCCCCACTCTCCCCCTCCCTCCCCCCCCACTCTCCCCCTCCCTTCCCTCCCCCCCCCAAAAAAAAACCAAAATGGCGGAGACCAGCGAGCGTGAAGAGCCCGAGGAAGGCCTGTGTCCGCCTGTGAAGGGTGTGGGGGAGAAAGATGGGGGGGGGTAGGGAGTCAGAGATGGTGGTGGTGGTGGGGAGGGGTCCCCACGGGGCCGGCGAGACCCACTCCTCACCCGCGGAGATCAGCGCCGCCGCCAACGTCGTCGCCAGAGCAGCGCCTCCCGCCATTTCCAACCGCCGCTCCGCGCCTCGTGCGCCGCACGAGCGCCTCCTCTGCGCATGCTCGGTCTAGCGCCCCCCGGCGGGTTGGTCCCTCACCGCGGGCACCGCTGGTCCTGGGCTCAGCCTCAGCCCAGCGCCCCCTGGTGGTGAGTCAGCGCCAGGCGCGGAGACCAACCCAACTCGGGGCACAAGATGGGGCAGCATCTATGGAGAGAATAAGAATGAGCCAAGGTTTCAAGGCCAGAGCGAAGGTCATCGACCGGAAACGTTAACTCCTTCGTTCGGAGACCCGTGAGCTCAGGGGTTAGAGCGCTCGCTTTGCAAGCGGGAAGACCCGGGTTCAATTCCAGACAGGTCAGGTCAGGGGCGAAACCCCGGGCAAAGTTTCCCTTACTGCCCCCGCAGCCTGGTAATAACGCCCCCGAGAAAACCCCAAGCAATAGTAAATTGGTCATTTTTAATCAACGATCGTTTGCGGCGGCGCTGCCGTGCGCAATTGGCTGCCGCGTTCGCCCACAAATATACCGTCAATTCACTTTACAGTATATTCTGGGAAGCGCTTCGGGACG